TCAATTTGAGGTTGGGCCACACATGCCGCAAATCAGCGTTCTTACAGCGGATGTTATTACGCCGTAAGTCAGCGTAATGTTTACTGAAAAACTGATTCGGATGTTTTTACGATCACTGACAGTGGCTGAATTTATCCGTGTATTAGTATGCATCACCTGTTACCCCTATCGGCTTGTATTTACAGTTCAACACTTAAATATTTCAACTGGAGTTGTGTTTCGGTGTTCACTTCAACTGCACGTTTATTTGTTTATTGTATTTTTAATCTATCACGATCACATTTAATTATAGTAGCGAGTTGTTTTTAGCTGAGGGTATACTATTGAGACACGCTAATGCCTGCTGACGTACAAACGTGGCTTACGTCTTCTATCTCACGTTTCAAGAGATGTATTGTGCCACAGTTGAACTGATGCTCTCCAGAAGGCCTGTCCCGCACTGCTCCGAGGCCAACCGACATTATTAAAAACCCTGGCGGTCGGGATGAAACATGGGGGGGGGGGGGGGGGGTGGCAAGATGTTTAACGATCTCGCCTGGTATAAGGTCGTGGGTTCGATCCCGACCCTGACGCCTGCTGTATATTTGGAGTTTGCGTGTCTCTCTCCTTGGTCGTGTGGATTTTTATCCGTGTCCTCCGGGTTTTGCCTCCCTATTTAGCAACATTCGTTTTGAGTATTTTGTTCAGTGAGCTATCAATTGTGGCCATATCGCTTCTGAAAAAGAGCTGTGGAGCTCACTGAGCTTTACCTGGTGAATAAACGAATAGTTTATCTTCAATAGGCCCGGTGTTGCTGGCCGCTCGCCATTTTTGGGCCTTTCGGCCGTACTCCCCAACTGGGATAACAAAATGCGGCAGTCAGACGACGGCACGAAGCATCGTGCACTGCCGGATGTTCCGCGAGTCGTGCTCCCGAACCATCTCTCGCCACGAGAATGAGGAATGGCAGTGAAACCGCTGTGCATTTGACGTCGTTCATTTGTGTTTCATTCGTGGTGTTTTTAGTAAAAGCGATTTATCATTAAAAAGAAATTCCTCTGGGAATAAACACTTCAGCTGATAAAATCTGGGTTCATTAAGGAATTAAAGGGAAATCTTTTCAAAGCATTTTAGGAAATGAGCGTCCGTTAGCGATGATAGAAAAATAAATTGCCACATCGCGCGTCCCCCAAGTCACATCCCAAAGAGGCTTAATCACCAAAATGAGATATTTAATCTGCTGCCACTCTCCGCTGGGATTGAGCAGCATCGTTAATTTGTCTCTTCCAATTACTGTAATTAATTGTCGTCAGAAGGTTTAGAGCCGCGTCCGTGGCATGTGGAACCCAACTCGGAGCACAGCTTCAGTGAAAGCGCCTCTGCTGTTGCTCGGCCTGCTCGCCACATGTCGCCAAGGGCTACAAGGACGCGAGCTTTGAGAATCCTCCCCAGACCTGCTGACCCTGCCCCAAAGCGCCCCTCGTGTTCAAATGGCCGCCTGCTGCCGGTGAAACGGCACGCGGTACAGCCTTGCACTTGCCTGCTGGTGCCATTGCTTGTGGAAGGGCCATGCCACTGGAGGAAGCTTCCGATGGAGCACGTCTCTCGGGTATTCGGCCTACTCTTCCACGGTGGCCAGACGACCCGCAGTGGTTTGAGTGACTCGCATTTTAACCCACCGCACGCGCCCTGCCGACAACCTGTGGCGTATCCATTCATGCCGCTGGGGGGATGGAGGTGGGGTCAGGGGGGGTTAGGTGGGTGGATGGGGGCAGGAGTGGGGGTAGAGTTTGAGAAACCGGCTCCATCATCATTCGCGCCACAGATGGATTCGGCGTTTGGATCGCAAATCACCATTACACCACCGCGGCAGCCTCCCTTGCTATGTACATCTGAAATTAATATTTCTGTGTAGACATGGGTAGCAATATCTCCAGGTGCTGCTGCTGCCCCGGTCACTTGTGCTGCCGCACACCCGACTTATTACGCATAACTGTAAACAAATACTGAAAGTAATTAGTTGCGTGGCAGTAATTGACACTGCAAGGTTGAGCCATGGCAAGCGAATAATCAAATGAATATAATAGCGTATAATGAGATAAAAAAGTACCCTTCACAGTAATTAATCCGTGCACGTTGTGTGCTTTCCGCGATGGTGCGGACGGCCACGACAGAGGCCGCGCCAAGCGAGTGGCCGGGGGGATTCCGAACGGACGATTTGCATCGGGGCGGCTTTATTATTTTTTCAACATCCGAATGAACAGCGCACGTATTCAAACAAAGTCACGCGCCCCTTAATTATTGTGCGCAGAATGGCTCATCTGGAGATAATCCTCCAGCTCGGGTTAGTTACCGTGGTACTGTCATCGCCGTTATCATCATCATCGCATCTCGCAAGGGAGATGTACAAACATGGGCTTGGTAGTGAATCATCATCAAAAGGAGCCATGATCAATCCATTGCTGGATGAAAGCCTCGCTTCATCTTTCATGATCCTACAATGTAACAATCCACTTAGCCCCTGCACACTGAGCTGATTTCACCACTCCATCTCATGGGTGGACTGACACACGGATGCGTTCCATTCCTCGGCTGCCACTCAGTCGCTATTCTTGACTATCAGTCGTTGTTGTGTCGTCTAGCCATGGCATGTCTTGCACAATCCCACTTTTTAAGAACAGTTTTAATTACTTATTTTCGTATGTTCTCTAATCCACGTGTTTTCTTGTTCTGTCTCTCGATGTAATTCCAAGCGTACATCGTAAATTTACAAACAAGAGTTTGTATATGAAATGTTTTATGTGACCACATTTCTCCCCCTTTATTTCCAATATTCGTATCGCCATGTATATCCTCTGTAAAGGGCGAGTTCCTGTAATTGAAAAGTACACACATTACATTATCTTCGTTCAACTTTGTAAGCATATAAAAATACAATATGCAATTTTTTAATGAACGTTTTAGTAACTTTCCATCCAACCGGACTCCCTGCTTCTTCCCTCGCACCACTCCGATGTGGAGTTCCCTGCCCATCCCCTACAATTATAACCGTGCTCCGCTTAGGAAATGTGTAAACTTTCAGCTGTCGAGAGTTGGGCCTACGGCCCGTGCTCGGCAATTGTGTTGAAAAGAAACCCAACCCCAAGGAGATGTAAACATTGCCTCTTTCGCTCGGGCGACCTGGGATACATCAAGGGCAGGAGGTTGCGCGATAAAATTGTTTTTTTTTACATTTTCTCGAGCACCAGAAAAGACATCAGACGCCTGCAATACGGTACACGGGAGAAGTATCTGCGGCGCGTTTGGTCGCACACCGCGTGCCAAAGTTGAGGCCTCGCTTGCGGCTCGCTTGTTGTGGCTGGCGGAGGAAAAATAACAAGATAAAAAATATTTAACATAAAAAAACCTGATCCTTCAAAAACAGGAGTGCATCTGAAGAATTGGATGCAGCGGCCCCCGTGCGCAGGTGCTGCGTGCTCGCGGCAGGCCGGGCGCGCAGGTGGCGGGCGCGGCGATAAATCCGGTGACGCCCGACGAAGATCGCGGGGGAGGGAGGGGAGGGAGGGAGGGAGGGGGAGGGAGGGGAGGGAGGGAGGGGAGGGAGGGAGGGAGGGGGAGGGAGGGGAGGGAGGGAGGGAGGGAGGGGAGGGAGGGAGGGAGGGAGGGAGGGAGGGAGGGAGGGGAGGGAGGGGGAGGCGGCGGGGGAAGCAGCGCGGCTTCCGGCGATGGATTGCGTTGTGATGCTTGGGTGACATTGTTCTGCCGCGCATGTCATCTCGTGGTGCCGCTGGCTATAAATAAAGTTGTGTTGAGTCGGCCGGGGAATTTGGCTCAATGCTGCTTTGATTCGCAAAAAAAGCCTTTCGGGGCCAGCAGCTGAAACAAAAAGTAAATTGCAAATTTTCTCCCTTTGCTGGGGCTGAACCCAATTTTCCTGCAGCTTGACCTTCCAATTGTCTTGCTGTCCCCGATGCCGCAGATGCCTAATAGCCATATGAATAATAGTTTGTGTAATTATTTGCGTTGTAAATCACGCTTCAAGTGGGAATTCTCCGTAAAATTTACGACTTCATTATTGAGTTTTATGCGAAAAAATGGTCCTCTTTCCGGCTGTTGTAATATTGTAAAATATATATTTTTTCATGACTTTTTAGATGTTTCCAGGACACGGCCTGCACTATTTTTTCCATCAACTGTGGAAAAATACCGACGTGCCTTTCTATGTATGTGTGTGATGTTCCATCATGACGCTTCTAATAAAGACTCTGAGGGAGGAATGCTTCCCTTACTTTATTTTCTACCAGTCTGGGTATTGGTAGAAAACTGAAAAGAGGTCCGGCCTAAACAACCAACACTCTCTTTTCCCCTCGATCCGAAATGCATCAACACCTCAACCCAGTCCCAGATCAAATTCATTATCACGCTCCTCTTCTCCAAGATCCTTTAAGGACTCGTTTCTACCTACCTCTCCCCTCTCATCTCACTCTACCACCATGCACACACTCACCTAACAATCCCCTCTCCGCTGGCTTCCCGTCGAAGCCTCCAGTCAACCTTAGCTCAGTGGCAATTTGCTCTTTCTCCTCTGCTTCCCACATTCTCTCGAATTTTGTTCCCCAGCCATCTGTGCTGTCAACTCCAGGCTCAAAACCTTACTGTGTTTACCTGCCGATAGCGGACTGGATCGAAACAATAAATATTGCTCACTGTTTCTGTGCAGCATCTTGCGATTTGATCACATTTCGGCGCTAGATAAATCCAGGTTTCATCACCTTGCCTTTCATCACGTGGCTTCATCAGGAACATGGGCTGTACTGGCTCATTGTGAATACTTTCAACTGCATACTGATCCTATCATCGGATTTCGGATCAAAATAAACGTTGGGCATGTTTTTAATTGCCTGTTAACGCATCATCTGCACGCCTTTCGACTCATTCTTTGCATTGGACGTCTGCGGTACGGCTAGGCTTCTGCAGTGGAAAAAGAGGTCGCGCGTGTGGATTGTGCGTGTGGGTTTCAGGGCCCTTTGTGATGCTGGCCGATGCCGCGGGCCGACCTACCAGCAGCAAGGCGCGTCTCGCGCTGCCGGCCATGATGGAGAACGATACGCACTGCCTGGACTTCAGCTACCAGGTGAGACTGCTGCACTGTGTTCGCAGACACTGCACGGCTGACTGCCCGCCACCTGCCCGGCTGGCGCACGCCCCGCACACATCCTGAACGCGGCACGTGCCCCGCGCACGTGGCGGACGTCCGCGTGTACCTTGTGCGTGACTCCGAGTGCGCCACGCACACCACTGCATTTGGTGTTGGGGCAAGCGCTGTTAGCGATAGCCTATTAAGGTCGGAGATATATTGTTGAAGGGTATGATGACCGACACCATGACCAGCCTCCTTTGTCTCGCCATTGCCGATGTTTATATACCACGCCAAGTACACATTTAAGTCTTAGTCAACCAAGGCGCAATATATCATTTGCTTACTGATGGTAGGCCAGGTATGGGAGGCCGGTCACCAAGCTCAGTGCAATGTGCATCGTGTGCTCGTCGCTGAGCCACCCCTTCCCCACGTACCACGGGCAACACGCTTCATGCGCCACGCACTGAACGCACATGTCAGCAACACATTCGTTATCAGCAATACGCATTTATCCCTTTATTTTTACTTCGATTTTGTTTTAAAGAAAGCTAAGGAAGAGTGTTGTTTGAAGTCACTGTGAATAATAATTTCAACTGGTAACATGCACAGTACTCGCTCACTCTCGTAGAGAGAGAAAAACAATTCCTGTTTTGAAAATAAAAACATTCAAACACTTTTCTACTATTCCAAAAGCATGTACTGTTTTGGCGATGAAAGCTTTTCAGAAGTAGTCATATAAAGTCACCTTCCAAGGTCATCTTCTAACGAGGGGATGGGGGGCGATGTCCCACTGGCTCTTCCTGCAAGAATTCTGAATGTAAATGTCGTTTTTCCTCTGTCTCGTGACACCGTGACACCAATAGCACGTTCGGAATAAAATTGGTAATTTTTTTTGAAAAATTCGAACAAGAAAGTGATGCATTTTCTTTTACATTTTTCATTTAAAAATCGGGTGTTTTCTTTGGCCGTGATAGCCAAACAGACGCAGCATACGTTGTTTATCTCGAGGTCATCGCGACCTCAAACAAATCTCCGCCACAACAAAAAACGCCCGTGGGAACCAGGTCGGCTGATCGCTCCGGCGACACTGATAGCGCCCGGGCGCCGAGGCCGCAGTAATTGGGGTTAAACGGCTCCGAGCCTCCTCCGTGATGTCTCGGCCGCCGCACCCCCCCGGGGCCGGATGTGCGACTTACGGTGACCCCCACCTCCCCTGCTCCACTTCCCCCCCTCCCACCGCCGCACCATGTACACCACCGCCGCTCCCTCCTCTGTACCTCCACACAGAAACAGATTCGACTTCTGTGGCTCGCTGCGTTGCTGCATTATTGCGTTGTTGCACCGTCTTTTGTTTTGTTTATCATGGATACTGAGTACAGGCTCAAAAACTCAAAGTGCCAAGTGGCTAGGAACAAACTGGACTTTTGAAGGTGTAAGAGGCAAGGGTGTGAATAACTTCCTTGCATTGAGCAAGGGTGTAGGAACTCAGGTGGGGGGGAAAGGCGATGGGTGGGTATTCCAGAGTTGAGCAGAGTGTGAGAAAAGAAGCAGAATTATGAGTGTTGTGACCTGCAGTGCGGTGGCTGAACACAGCCTGGGTGACACAAAACATCCAGTCTGGTAGACCACGTCGGGAAGTGAAGTTCACAGGTGTGGTAACCATGGTTTCAGTTTCAGTTTCATGTATTAGGTATAACCCTGTGAGCCATGCGGCTTTTGACTCGGGTGCAACCACAACAAAACAAAAACATGAACAAGAAACATCTTAAAGTGACTACACGCAACAGGAAAATCCTGGATAAAATGGTGGTAGTAGTAGTGATAGAAGAGTGACAGGGAGGTGACTGGCTGCCATTCAGTGAGTGACTGGAGTTAATCTGCTTGATCGTGAATCGCGTTGAATGTTTCACGCTGAGTTCTATGAAGGACAATGAGGTAGGGAACTGGGTACTCTACCCCCCCCCCTTCCCCCAGGTATGAATGGTCCCATACTCTAACTTTGGCTGAATTAGCGTGGGGGTCCGGCTCCAGTGGCCACTACACGGGGCCACTTGCTCCCGTGCCCGGATGTGAATCTAGGAGTTGCGGTTGCATCTGTTGCATCGTAGAATTCCTCTCGTCCCCGGGTTAAGACCAGAAGGTCAAGCTTAGTTCTGTCTGGATTTAAAACAAGTTTATTATAACTATAGATGATATTTGTATTGGTGTACATTATCTGGTACGACATTTGTAGTGTCAACGATTCAGAGACAGAGTTTATAGGAGGCAATTTTTTTATTAACAACTTTCACGGTCTCGTCCACACACTCTCCACAGTAGCTCAGCCCAGCCTGTACACAACACGAGCCGTCTAACACTGACGGCGCTGACTGAGATAGCCAACTACTATCTTTCATAGCGCAATATCTATTAGAAATGTTTAGCAATGACGGCGTCGAGACGACAGCAACGACGAGAAGAGTCCACTCCCAGAACCGGCAGCCTCGAGCTCCCGCTCTTGGCTCCTTTATGCTCCCAGCGCGGCCTGGCTCCGCCCTAACTGCGCCTCCCTTCTCGAACCCGCTAGCAGGTTCCAGGGCCCTCCGAATGGCGTCCTCCGTGACCCTTGCCCTGGTGCCTCCTGTCTGCCCACACATCGTTCACACCCTCACCGGCGTGTGTGCTGTCTGTCCGACCACAGTAGCCGCCGCTGTCCCCCAGCCGGCGCTATTACACTACACTTGGACCACGAAAATGGAGCGGAAGCTGAAATTTACGCAAAGAAGCCGGATAGAGAGATGCAAGCTTGGAATTGCACAGTAGATATACATCAAGCAATACGTGGATCAGAGAACAAACACGACTCGGAGGCATCTTTTTGGCTGTGAAGAAAAGTGAAGGGCCTTGGGCAGGACACATCACTAGAGGGGATCGTGGCCCCTGAGATTAATGACAAAATGGCGCCAAAGGAGGGAAGGTGTTCTGAAGTGCATCCTGGGAGTGAGCTCTGGGGATCGTGCGTGAGTGTGCGTGCGTGAGTGTGCGTGCGTAAGGGGGGAGCGGTAGTGCAGCGGTTAGTGTGCTGCGTTATGAACCCGGCAACCCGAGTTCCATTCCCTCTCGCTGCCAACACCAGTGACGATTATCTGAACCAGTCATGGGCATCGCCAAGGTCGACTCGGCCTCAAATGAGTACCTGGTGCGGTGTGTAAACATTACCACCGGGGAGACAAAGGTGGCCTGACGTGGTGTTTGCCACCCCACCGTACGCTGTGGCGGCCTTCAGTGGCAATCGCGAAGATCACTTGCCTCAACAGCCTGTTGCAGGATATACGGGGGTTCTTTATCTTCGTAAGCGGTTGGCGGGTGGTGAGAGTTGGCATGGGCGGTGAGTGTACCGGGGCCGAAGACCCCCGTCCCCAGCGCTGGCGCTCCACACTAGGCACGATCGAGGTGGCTTGACGACACGCCAGACGTCGCGCTCAGCGCAATAAATGTGCCTTGCGAGTAAAAAACACATTAGTCTTTGTGTTGTGGTTACAGCGGGGAACGCCGACACGATTGACATTTCCCCTGAGTGCAGGGAGAGGTGGACGTTGCGCTATTTGTCCAGACAAACAGAGGGTTCGCCAGGTCTGCACGGTACAAATTGAAACGCTTTTTTTTCTTCCTGTGTGCGCGTCTGTGTCTACGCATGTATTTTACACTTCTTTCGCGCCGTACGTCACACCAACCGTGCTAATCAGAGTGGCGTGTGTATGTCTACGTGTGTGAGTCTGGCCTTCATAGGTGCAGCTCGCCAACAACGCTTGCCCCCAACATTCTGTTCAGGCGAGACAGGGGGGTGGTCTTTGTCTTTGTGTCTGTGTGTTTGTGGAGAGCTGGGTGCAGTGGAAACTCGGCAACCAGGCTTCAGTTCCTGGCCACAGCTAACATCAGTGGCGAGTGATTATCTGAATCGGCTACCCACCGGACCTCAGTTCTCCGCCAACGCCTTACACACCTCAATGAATCGTAGAAACCTTCGCAGTGCGTCGCAGAACCTCCGTGAAACTCCCAGGACAAGGACTGCCATTGCTTCTCGTCGCAGCCTCCATCATCTGGAATGCCACCCCCTTATCCACGTCTGTAACGATTGATAATTTTCATAGGTCAAAAACCATCTAGAGGCGCTTCTCTTCAGCTCGACATTTAACCACCGAGTCTCCCTGGAACCGCGTGACGCCATCCGACACTGAGCTCTGCTTCGCGCAACATTGCGCGCATTATAAATTGTTTATTATTGTGATCATGAACCAGTCCCAAGCATCCTCTAGGTCAACTCTCCCTACGATAGGATCCTGGTGCTGTGTATGACATCAGCATTGGGGGAGGCAATGTTTGGTAGGCCTTGGTGATGACACCATTTTCCCGTATGCTGTATAGGCCTTAATAGGTGCTCGCTAACATCACTCGCTAAAAACAGTCTACGAAAGCTACACAGGTGGTGGTGGGTGGGAGGGTCAGCAGTGGTAGTACTCGTCTGCTCTGTGCTATGATCCTGGTGACGTTCATACGTAGGAGTTCACAGCCTTTCATATGATTCATGATTGGGGTTTGTTTGAGGTCCGGATTAGCGTGGTTGGATACATACGGCGAGAAAGCAGTTCAACATAAATACAGTCAATGAATACAATTCCAGGCCATGAAATAATTGGCAAGTATAATAGTCAACTCATCCTTCAGTGAGTGGAGTCCTCAACAAACCCACGATGTATATTTTAATATAGCTAGGTGTGTGACGTCACAGGGAGGCCACTGGGCAGGACTTGTTTACGAGTGGGCGTGGCTATGTGAAACGGGGCGTGGTCGAGAGAGGGAGAGGGAGGAGCGGCAAGCTCTCGCCATGTGTCCTGGTTGAGCCTCCAGGTAAGCTTTACGCGTGCGCTTGCTTGTGCGTGACCGGTGCTTGGCACTGACACCCCAACATCCCCCCCCCCCATGCGTTCATTTCAGGTTGTCAGCAAAGTGGGGGCCATTGCCTCGGGCTCACTCCACGCGTACGTGCGGGTGAACGGGGGGGCACTCGGGGGGCCGATTTGGACGGCCCCCGTGCCGCGCTCCAGAGGGTGGGTCTTCGCCGAGCTGGCCGTGAGCACCTTTTGGCCAAACACCTACCAGGTCAGAGTCATTGCCGTCGCCGCCCTCGTCGTCGTCGGAGTGACGCGGACTCGTGGAGGCGTCCGGGCTTCTGTCCCCGCGCTGCCGCGGTGCAACACGCGGGGATGGTGGCAGCGCCAATCACGTCACCCACGGCCACGTCGCCCCGAATGCGCCCAGTCATGTCAGCTCTCAGAAGCTAAGCAGGCCTCAGCCTGGTTGTCCTCTGCCGAGATATTTGGCCATCGTGGAAAAGTACGACAAGGAGCTCTCTCTAGGGTGAGATCTCAAGAGTTAGGAGCTCTCTAGAGGGAAGCCCTTTCTCCAACGGTGACGTGAGCACACAATTACAGGGCTGTGCCTTTACCTGCCGTGTGTGTTTTTTGTTACCTCCCAGGGAGCATTGTGGCTGTTTGTCCCTACAAGCGAGGGCCCAATTGCACGGCGACGCGCAGCGCACACCGAGCCGCGGGCCACCGATTCAGCACCGGGGATTTGCCTTGCACGGCGTGGGAGGGGGTCATGCGAGCTCCGAGCACAAACGTGCTCCACTGTGCCTCGATTAGCTGCTAAAAAAAGGAGGATTAATAATCATGCATACGCATGGATTCGCAATGCTATCCTCCTCGGGCATCGTGCTGAAGAGCACGGAGAGCGACTCGGATTAATCTCGAAACCCTACGCAGTAGCTCTCAACGTTCGTTGGAAAGCTCTCTTAAAAAAATCAATCACATGGCATGTTATGTAACTATATTTTATCAGGATTCTGATTTAAAGTACATTGCAGCTTGCCATTGAGCAACTCCGTTGAGATGCAAGATCATGCCGGTGGCAGAGAGCGCAGATGCAAAAACATCGACGTCTCCCGCTCGGTCGCTCGCTCCGCAGCAATCATCGTCATCATCGTCATTGTCATCATCCGCACGGACAGAGTGACTCTGGCCACAGCCGGTGGGGAACGCGTCGTGCAGGCGTTTACACAGCCGGAGATTAAACGCGGTTACGCCTCTCACGGCCCTTCTCAACCGCCGCCAGCGCTGGAGAGGGAGGCCCTGAGGCTCTGCTTGCTCGTTGAGGGAGGGAGGGGGGGGCGAGACGCGTGGCCGGGTGGGGGGGCTCGCGTTTGCCGGGAAGCGCGTCGCGATGGCCGCCGGTGGAGTTGGGTGGCCATTGAGATGCGGCGTCGCGTTTCGAGCGAGGGCTCAATGCCACGATCGACGTGCCTTGTGACGTGTGCTCAGATCCCATGCAGATGAATGGATGTTGTGCCTGACACCCCACAGGCTGATACGCACACACGCATAGACGCAGATGCATTCACATATGCACACAAACACACACACAGAATGCAAAAATCATAGGTACACTCACTATTACAAGAACGCCTCCGCACACAATGCGCGCACACACTTTCATATTCACGCACAAAAAACCCACGCCAACCCTAAACCCAACCATAAACATAGCCCCTACCTAATCCTGAACTAAACCCTAACCCTAAAACCAGCTCGAACCCCAACCCTCTGTGCTTGGCTAGACTGGAGCAACCACTCCTCTGTAATCACGGATTCAAGCGGTCTTCATGAGTCCTCATGAACGGATCCGTGATTTTGCAGAGGCAGGTTCAGTGTTGCGGCAGTGAGAGGGAAAATTATTGTAATTTAAATCTGTACCATGATTCGTACGCTGCAACACCGTTTGCGCTTGTGCCTTGGTCTTCTTACTTGGGGTCATGTCCGGGTCGTGCAAGCCATGCACACGGAATGATTGAATTTACAATCTCTTTTAATATAATAATTTCGGTTTAATTAAATCGTTTTAACAGGTTTCTCAACCTTCCCATTTTAGAAATCGTTTAAAATATCTTTCTATTAGAGTAATGTGAGATCAACTGTGGGGGAAGCAATTAAAAGGAGCAGCTTGTTGATTTCTTGGTCCCAGTCACTGACAGATTTTCTTTCTTCCAAACAAAATCGGAAATAAAAGAAGGGGTGCATCTCGGGAATTATTCACGGGGAAATAACACTCTTTCGGAATGCACGCCTTTGAAATGAAAGTGCGAGCAATCCTTATCGTATGAAAAGTCCTACTCGATAAAGGATCATTGCCTAAATAAATGTTGTTTTCCCTTGGGCGGTGGGGGTGGAGGGTGGGGGGAACCCCAAAAAGAAAATGCCGTAAAAACCCTACAATGTAATTAATTTGCTGGGGCTCTTTCCCTTTTTGTTGTCATGAAAGGAGCCGTGAATGCAGAGATTATGCTCAAATGCATGTCCCTCTTTGTGGTGGTAATGGATTTTTTATTTGCTGCTCCTAGGAATGCATTTGCCAGGCCCGCGATAAGGAATTCCACATAACAATTTAAATGTCAAATCGCTGGGATTAAAACCTGCACGACGCACGTGCAACGTGGCCGGTGGGAGCTTTTGAGGACCTCTAAAAGTGTCCGTTTCAGTCGTGTGCTGACATCAACAAATAAACAACGAAATCTTTTTTTCTGGAAGGGAAGGAGAGGTGAACTTTGAGTCGCCTTCATGTTCACGTTGTTGTGGCGATTGGGTGATCAGTCCTTGATCCCTGCACGTGGCGAGATGAAGGATGGTGATCGGCAGCATAAAACAAACAATCGTCGCCCTTGAAAGTACGGCACAAAGAGGCGTATCTATTAACCGCCCACACTCTGTGCAGCACTCACACAGGGTGTGACTCTTACATTTTCTAGATGTTCACAAATTCGACCGTTTCACGTATCATCATCCTCAGTCCCCACTGAGACAGACACATAACGTTATATTGTACCGGAATTCGAGATTTTGTGAAATAATATTGAACAACAACAACAACAGTGCTCCCGCATTCTGGCAGCGTCACTTGAGAGGGCGCAGTGGTGGCGGTGGTGGAGATTGAAAGCCAGAGCTCACTCGCTGCGCTGTCTTCTCCAGATCGTGTTCGAAGTCACGAGCTCGGTGCAGCTGTCCTACGTCGCGCTGGCCGATGTCCACATCCTCAACTATCCCTGCAGTGAGTGTTGCCTGCTCGGCCTGGGCCACCAGAGATCGATTCGTGAGCGGGATTGTTGATGAAAATACTCTTCAAGATGTTTATTTACTTATTTCACATTTTGGTCGACGATAAGTGGATGAAAATCACCGAGCGTGATGATGGTTAGGCTTGCTGCCCAGCACAGACCAAACACGACCGTGACGAGACAGAGTTGCTGAGTCTGAATGAAGATGCTGCCTAGGAGCATCTGGTTATTAGAGACCGCACTGCACTGAGGAAGACCACAATTGGTGATTTCGATGTATGTGCATAAAATAGTTTTACGGAGTGCACTGATTTGCTGAGCTGATACTATGGAGGGAGGGTGGTGGAGTGTCTGGCACTCTAACCAACGTTTAGCAAAAAAGTCGAATGGACTTTCACTGTATAGTCAACTGGACTAAGGAAATGAAATCCACAGACTCAGACTCGGCTGAAGTGTCACAGGCTGCCGTCGGCTAGACCAGGAACACGACTAAAATTTAAACCGCATCTAAATGAACCCCACTGGTGATGTTGTCGCGTGTGCGCGCGTGGGGCGAGGGCCCCGTTTGGCTTCACCGACTTTCTCGTTGCACTGCGCTAATTGTTACAGCGACGGTCGCGCAGAATCGTTGACGTGCGCCCGGTTCATCGCCACGCTCGCACGCCACGTATCGCCAAACGTGACCATCGCTCATCATCATCATCAGCCACGATCTGTCCACTGTTGGATGACAACCTTCCCACGCCTTTTCTCACGGTCTTACGATGCCACAATCCATCGAGCTTCTTCGCGTGAGCTGATGTCGCGGCGGCGTGTCCACCCTGCAGACGAGGTGCCCCACTTCCTCAACCTGGTGAACGAAGAGGTGAACGCGGGACAGAACGCGTCCATCCAGTGTGTCCTCATCAGTCGGCGGCAGCAGCTGGGCACGCTGTGGCTCCAGGTGCGCTCCTCCCTCCGTCTTCCTCCTCTCTTTCCGCCGAACCTTGCGCCCAACGCAGCCTTGATTGAAGGAGGGACCATGAGACGTACAGTAACACGGGGGGGAGGGGGTGCCCGGCACCCACCAGGAGGCCCCTCCATGCTATGGGGAGGAGAGGGATGCGAGGCGGTGGGACGCGCGTCTTCGTTCGTAGAGCGAGCGCACGAGTCGGGCATCTTGCTGCTGCACGCGTCCTAGGCAGGACATCCTTTCTCACAAAGTAACATTCCGGGTCGCCGGTCGGCTGTACTTTGTGGCACTTGTTTAGCAGCCGCCGTAGCCCGAGCGAGAGGTATTCTTATGTGGTGTGCCGGGTGTCGAGGGGGTTAACGCTTGCAGTGAAGCCCTGTGGTGGGCGAGCAGTGGGCATGGCGCTTCTCCCACCAGCCCCAACGATGCCTCCTTCGGGGGCCAGGGGTGGACATCGCTTCTCGCTGCGAGGGGAGCCGTCATTGTGCGACCGAGACGGCCACTCTCACGCAAGCACGGGAGAGTGGCATTTGGCTCATGCTTGTGTTCGTGAAAGGCTGAAGAGGTCAAGATAAGAGCTTTTTATTATGATGAAATAGTGGGATAGGATGAGCACAAAGGCTTTATAAAAAAAATACCATTACTGGTCTCTGCTATCACCATCTTTATGGCTGTTGGTCTCAAGGGGGTTTCAATGACTCTACTTCCTTTGTGTGCCCGTCCCTGCTCGGATATATTTGTTGTAAGAGGGGTCAGTTATGAACAAGAAAAAGAAATGTTGAAAAAAATTTAAGAGGAAAAAAAACCCCGCTTACAAAGTCTCTTTGCCTCTTTCATTTAAATGACATTCAAATTTACGGACGTCTTTGTCTCCAGAGTTCCTCGTAGGAGTGGCCGCCTCGTGTTCAGGCATGTCCGCCCCAGCTGCCGTTCCTCCGAACGCGTTGCGAGCGAGCGGGGAGGATGGCCGACCGCTGGTAGCGTGCGGCTAATCTACGCGCAAATAGAATAACGCGGCGCGGCGCGTACGTGGCCGTATTGTATTCGGAATTAACTTTTTTTACAAGAAAAGATATCCAAGGTTGCAGGCCCTGTGATTGCAAGCATCTGCATTATAAAGTTCGTGGCCTGGGTGCTGTTTTCTGTTGAGCCCGAGGCGTTGAGTGCGAACGTGAGAACAGCTCCTCCGTGGTGCCGTCACGAGTCCCCTTACTTCATCATGAAATTCATTAAGTTGAGCTGTCACGGTTTTCAATGAAAAGTCCGTTGTGTGTGTGTGTCGCACACATCCGTGGGCAAGCCCGCTTTGCGACAAAGGATTCTCTCCCAGCCTGCGCAGGCTGGGGTGTTGTGCTCCTCCATGTTGTTTGTTTGTGAAACGTCGTGTTGCTTTCTCGAGATGGCTCGGTCCACCGTGGGCTTAATCGAGAAGCAGATGCACTTTGACAGCGGGCCGGCGCTCAAACACTAATTCCTTCTTGTTGCTGTTGTTGTTATTTTAATTTACTTTTTGCTTACTTTGAATTCATTAATTGCAAATGTGTCACAACAACAAAGTTTGCTTTTGTTAGGTTTAAAAATGCATGAGAGACAAAGACGGCTTTGTGCGCCTCTGGCCGGTGCAGCGCAGTGGCTGTGCCAAGCGTGGGTTTTTCCATGGCACGCGGGTGTCTGCTGCTACCGCCAGCCGAGCCGTGCCCTCCTGCTGCAACCTCCACTCTCAAAGTCTCCCCAGTTCCCATCTCCACACCCTCCCATGTCCTCCCCTCTCCACTCTCCACGCTCTCTCATCGTCACACCCTCCCACCCATTCCGACCTCCATGGTCTTCTTACCGCCTTCCTTCTTCTACCTCTTGAACTTTCCTCCAGCATTCTCCCTTGCTTCTACGAGCTTCCTTCATCAATCATTCCCCTTCTGACAGTATTATTGCCAGCGAACATATTTTGCCTCCTCTGATTTGCTGAGTGTGTTTAAGTCGTAGAGCTGTGTTTGTTCACGATGGTGGCGGTGTTGGATTGTTTTTTTGGTCCGTGCTGCCACATCGCAGCTAATGTGGTCATTGGCGAATGTTTCTGTTATCTCGAGTCGGGTTTCCGTTTGCTGAATATTTGCAATGGCTTCTCAAACCCTCTTGCCACCTGTTTGCTCTGCTGCTGCTGTTGCTGCAGCGTTATCTGGCTCGACGCTTGCCTCTCTCTACACCATCATCTCTCTCTGAAAATCCCGTGCCCTTGGATGACTCGATAATGCTCTGAGTTGTGTTTTGCACCCATGACTTGCCCACCAGTTGTCTTCCATAATCCTAAATACGTGTTGTTTAGGATACCGTTTGTACTCTTCATCTGACATGTCCCTGCTGTGGATGAGTATTTTTATATTAGATAGTCGTGGCTATATTAGATAGTCGTGGCTATATTAGATAGTCGTGGCTATATGGCTATAATCCTATCATTATCTATGACTGTCCTGTTCCTATCAGGCTCTGCTAATGACTAAGGGTTGGCCACGTGGCCCCTGTGTGCTTCTCTGACCCCTTCACAAACCTGACGGCAACTGGCAGGTGGCCTCTCTATGCCTCGGTGCTACTTTCAGATGCTGCATTGATTATCGGGGCCGCCCAGAGGTTTCATTTAGGCCCTTCTTATCCCGCCATCAATATCCCTGTTGCGGGGCCCTCTTTTGTGGGAGGCCTATCTCAAATTGGCCATTTTGTCCAACCCTTACCCCCACTAGTTATTTTGATTCTGATTATTCAGATTGATAGCTGAGTTCTGATGTCAGCTCCGCCCACTGCTCAAGTAGCTCTGCCAGTTGCTTCCATCATGCGATGAGCAAGAGGTCCTGAACATTTTAAACATGGGCCAAATCCCAACCTTAGCACTGCCGCAACCTTGGTTAAAACCAAGGCTGTTGGTGGCTTTAGACACTGTCGCCATTTGCAACTTGGCCATTAACAGCAACTGTCCGTGTCCCGATGCTTCGACCGGCTCAGCGGTTTGGGGGGGTTGCCTCGCCCCATCGTCCTTCCCTTGGGGTCGATTAAAATGAACACCACCTTGTGGGGGAAGCCAACAATGGTGGATGTCCTATGGATGAACTCGCCGCTGACATAGCAATGAGGAATTTCCACCAATGGCTCAGGGTTGTATAGGAGATGAGCCCAGTCTTGATACTCATCGTAGGCAGGAAATCAACGATTGTGTTTGACTTTGACTGCTCAGAGCCAGAAGGGTAAGGACGTGATGGTGGCCAGCAGCCACCTGCAGGCGCGGCGCTACACGGCCACCTACAGCTTCCCCACGGCCGCCAAGGACGACTCGGACAAGTTCCGCTGCGTCGTTCACAGCACCGAGGGCGCCAGCGTCTCCAACTTTGCCTCGCTCATCGTCAGGGGTAAGAGAAAAATAATCCAGTAGTGTGCGACTGTGGTATTCCAAAACAAGAGCGAACAACGTATAACAACGCAATGTCCGATCCACAAATACGAAGGAGACATCACAGCGATACACTTGTAGATGTTGCCCTCTTAACGAAGGAAGAAGAAGAAGAGGAGTAAGGCCCTTACTGGGCGACATAAGCCGCGGCTGGGCTGGCGACGGTGAGGGGGCTGCGTAGCCACAGAGCGAGGTAGCCAATGTCGCAAGTTCTGTTTGCAATCGGAATTCTCGTAACTCCTGGTAAATAAGAGTTATGCAAATTGGGCGCTTGTAGTTACAGTTAATCTTATGAGTGATCGGGTGCCCTGGAAAAAACGTGCTTACCCACAAAATTTCATCTGTCCAGAAAGTGGAGCCTCTTCATGTTGAGAGTAGGAGGATTCAGTGGATAGAAAGAGTGATTTTTTTAAAGTACATTTGCACTGATATTTGCATAGAAGATACAACAAAAACAATCGCGGGTGTATATTAAAGTGTTGGAGTTCCAGCGGGGATATCTGATTAGTTAGGGAATGTATCACCGTGCCGATTGCCACTTTGATTGCTCCACAAATCTGAAAATGCGACAATACTTCGAAAGAGAAGGTTAACTTCTACTACCATAAGTTTAACTGGATGGTAGGTGATGGTGACATCATCGGTATCACCAGCCACACGAGAGCAGAGGGAATCATTATCTAACCCACTCTGCATATTAGATTAATAATTATCATGTTTTAGTAAAATCAATATTTAATTCCAATAGTTGGAATTCAGCCAAATGGAGTGCATAACCAAATCAAATGTTTGGGTTTATTGTGACGTATGCCATCACTGGCGACTGAACGGTCAGCTCGCTCAATACGCGACACATCGGCCGTGTTGCTCCGTGCTGCCCCCACTTTAAATGTTTCATTTCTAACGATCACCGTCTACCGCCCGCCAGAGCCCCCAACGCCCGTGGCTCCCCCGCTGCTGTTGCGCGTGGGCCCCACGAACCTGTGGGTCCACCTCAACGCCAACTCGATCGTGGGCGAGGGCCCCATCATCCTGAAGGAGGTGATGTGGAAGCAGAGCGCGGGGACGTGGGCCGAGGTGAACCGTGCTGACTCGCAGACCTACAAGCTGTGGCACCTGGACCCGGACACGGCCTACGAGATCCGTGTGCTGCTCACGCGGCCCGGCGAGGGCGGCACGGGCCTTCCGGGCCCGCCGCTCATCACGCGAACGCGCTGTGCAGGTACCCGGCGGGGCGGGCGGGGGGAGGGCAGTGGCGGGCGTGAGGTGGAGAGTAGGGGCTGGGGTTGCACACCCACGTGGGGTTAGAGGTAATCGGTGTAGAGTGTAAGGCAGAAGGCGCAGGGCACCGAGGTCTTGGCTAGAGCATTGATAATAACGGTAGCGCAGGTATGGGGTAAACAGTGAGGGGGGTGAGAGAGAAAGGGCAGCGTAGGTACAGATACAAACGGTACAGGTTTGGTTTGGGACACTCCCTGTTTCAGAAAGGCACTCCCATGGTGCCACTTGCCCGACTGGGTAAAGGGTAGGGCGACCTGAGTAGTGGGCGGAGCCTGTGAGCAGTAGGCGGGGCCAGCGAGAGGCCACGCCCCACGGGGGTGGGGCTAGTTGTTGGGTGGGCACGGCTATTGAAAAGTGGGCGGTGCTGATAGAGACATAAAAAAACTAATTTTTGTTTAACACGTAGGCTCTGTAATAAAGTTTTTCGGTTAGATCGCCTAAATACAATAACAGGTACTGCTATTTTATTGCACACAAACGACAGGAGGTACAAGAGCAATGTGCATGCATAATGTACGTTGATTACCATGTGAATAACCCAACCGGCAATGGATACCCATTGCAATTTATATGCATTCATTAATTCCTCCCTTCGCACGTGAAGGTCTCACAAGTGACGTCATCACATCTATACCTCTAATTAAGGATCAAAACAGGAGGATGTCTCCACAAATCTGGCTGTCGCCTGATGATGCTCGTTGTAATTACTGCCGAAACGTCGTACTCAGATTGTAAATAGTGTGGATTTGCTCTCCAATACACCGGTGTGCTGTACTAGTAACAAATGAGCATGTTCTGTTTACGACACATTTATATTTACGTCATTTAACCCACAAAAACGTATATTATGGAAACAATTTTGTAATTTATTTTACCAGGTAGGCCGACAGAGCTATATAGCTCTTTTTCAGGAGCGACCTGGCCACAAATAATAGCTCAATGAAGTGGCTTATCACGTGGAAATTTATATCAGCAAATACTCTTAACACATGTTTCTAAATGTGGAGGGAAAAACCAGAGGACCCGGAAAGAAATGCATGTGAGTACAGAAAAATGTGCAAACTCCAAATAGACAGCAGCAGCAGCAGGCGTCAGTGTCGAGATCGAATCCACGACCTCCTGTACACCAGGCGAGTGAGTTAACAGCTCGCCAGCGGGTCCCGAGAGAGAGGGGCTGCAGCTTACCATGTGTCCTGGTTGAGCCACCGAGAAATTAAAGCGCAAGTATAATTAATCATAACGGGCAGCTGTGGCTAAGGTTTCACGAGAAGAGGGAAGCACAGCGCGTGTGCACGCAGATGTGCACGAGTCCATGGGGGCAGTGCACACATCTTCGTGTCACTGCCGTGCTGCGTTTGGTTTACAAGCCGCATGGCAACCGGCAATTAGTGCGCGATCCTGTGCCCATTAGCGCATCGCACGTTGCTGATGCGTGATTCACGTTGATTGCAGCTGCAGTGGAGTGTTGAGGCGAGGCACTGCAGCTCATTCCCAGTCACGTTCAGTTTGAGTCACGGGTTTATTGAGCGCGCTGCTGTAACGGGCACATTATTAATTCATTTCAACTTCATCCACGAGCTCTGCTGAGGCCGCCGCAACAATAATTTGCTGCTTTCTCACCTGTTAGCCTGTCAGGTAGCCGGAGGGCGGGGGGTGCGCCATGGGTTAAAGGGAATGCCGCCAGGGCTTATTGTCTCACGTTCAGCAAGATTTAGCTTCGTGCTGGTCCTGTGGGGCGTGCCGGCGTCGGTCTCAATGGGCGCCCGTCCGCCCGCGTTATCTTTTGGAAATGGCTGCGTGTACACGAGCGTGTGTCAAAGCCTATGGGCCAAGTGCTTCAAATTACTTGTTAAACTATCCTCCACGGGCACGGGATCGAGAGGGCATCTCCGAGCAGCGTAACATTCTCCGCCGGAGCGAGTGGCTGGAGAGAAGTAATAATTGTATCGGCACCGGAGCAATGGTCCGCGGCACGCTCCAGCGTACACCGTTATTTATTCTGCATTGATGCCGCCGAATTAAGTGCAAGCTGTGATGATTATATTTGGGCAAAAACATTCAGTTTGAAGTTTGAGATTTTGAATGCGTTTCGGACAAAAACATTGCTGAACAACAACAGCTGCTATTCGACACTGAGTGGCCGTGATTTCACTACAACACTTGTGCCAGGCTAAGTGCACCTTGAGGTCACGTGAAGTGTCGAAGGCTTGCTGATAGGAGGTCATGGAACACACCCAGGGTTGATTGACCACGATGACTGACAGATGCACCACCTGTGCTCCCCACTGTGTCAACTTGTAGCGTTTTAGCTGCCTGGTGCTCCACTCATTGTTGTGAGCATCGCTCCTCTGTGCCCTGTTTTTGTTGGACGACTACTGCCTCCACCTGCCCAATAGTGTCCTTCACGAGCCTCCTCCGCAGAGGTCGATTTTTACACTGCTGGTACCGCTGCAATTTGCTCCACATCCTCCTGTACCGCATCATCCCCTATCGTCTCCCGCCCGTGCCGCCATATTTGGCACCCTCTTTTACATTCAAACAGAAGCTGCCTGGGCATGCGGTGGATTAAAAGCGTGCACACACACACGCGTATATGCACTGCACATGAGTTGGTGATATTGCTGAGCAGGGATGAGGGATCAGCTCCTGAGAGGCTACCCGTGAAAGCCAGTGGTACGCGAGCCATTCATCGGTATAATAACGACTGATTGTTGTTGTCAGCCGGTTACTCCCCACCATCGGGTGAAGGCCTCCCCCATTCTCTCCTCAATCCCCTCCTTTTCCCGGCTGCTCCTGTCCGGTCGTGACCTCCGACCTCTGTGATGTTGTCTCGCTGCTGCTACTGCTGCGGCCGTCTCTTCCACTGTCTCCCTCTGCTTCTCCTCCCTTCCATTCGTCTTCGTTCCAACGGAGTTCGTTTCCTCTCTCATCTCTTGTCAGATTTTCTCATGACGAGTGCTGTGCGTTTTCACTCGATTGTCTTTGCTTTAACAACAGCAGCATCATCTGTGAGCCCTGTTCTTTCAATTATTTCTTCATCATCATCTGAATAGATCTCATTAATTGCCAACACGTATTTACAGAGCGATTTTCAAATCACACGCCTTATTTTCCAGCTAACTTGTGGCATACAGTGCGTGCATTGGCAGTGCAAAGGTAAATCGAAGAAAGACAGCGTACTAAGCAGAGTAAACGAGGAGATGGTAGAACAATGTTGTTACACAGATCATTTAAACTCCACAAGTTATCTGGCTCTTGAAGTTTTTTTTTTTACAAGTCTGGGTTAAATTAGTTGCATATCTCCCACGTCTAATAAAGCCCACCAGTCACGTGACAATTCCGCTCCTTACTGTCATCACCTGCAGAGAGGATTTTCAATTTAGGACATGTGTCAAGATTGAATTTAGATTTGGGAGGTGCAGAAAGCGATTACTTTCATCTAAACACGTTTATCGTAATGGTTTCATTTTTATAGCCAACAAAAACCCGGCTAAGAGCACGGTGGAGCGTGGAAACTGCTTTAAAAATACTATTAACTCCCCGACGGGGCAGCAGATGTATCCGTTGTGTCAGACATGACACATCTTGTCGCGGCAGTACAACATTTAGCGCAAAACATGCCATCGTTCATAGCACAAGTCATTCAATTAATCGTCGTGATGAAGGGTGACTTTTAGATAGAAAAATATATTCTTGTTGGTCTCATTTTTGCCAACTTGCTTGTATTTTTTCTTGTTTTGTTCCAAAATAACGTTGGCAAATTATAGTTTGTCGTATGATTAAGTCAATTCACATATCTTGATCATAAGAATCATCTTTAATTCGTCAATCGAAGATCGTTGCATGTTTGTCTCAAATGAATTGCACAAGTAGTAGTTGACAATATTTGGACTAATTCTGAGACCTGATTAACCTGGGTTCATTTACCAGCTTGTGGCTACACACATCAGCGGTGAGTGCTATATTAACCGGGTTTTGGTACTCCCTCCACCAACCCACGCTGGCGAAGTATGGTGAAATCGTTGAGTGTACTGAATGACGTAGGACTGGTGTGCTGAGCGATGGCCGTGTGCCGTAAGCATCGTCACGAGAGCGAGGTTCACGGTCGCTTTCCCCTCCGTCTGCAGAGCCGAAGCACGGCCCTCTGAACCTGCGTGTGGTGTCCATCCGCTCGCGGGAGATCAGCCTGCAGTGGGAGCCGCTGGGCTACAACGTCACGCGTTGCCACGCCTTCAATGTCACCGTGTGCTACCGCAGCTGGGCCACGAGGGGCCCGGCGGGGAACGGCACAGCCGGGGGCGCGGCGGCGGAAGCCGGCGGCGGCGGCGAGGAGTGTAGGGACGCCGGGAGGGCGGCTCATGGCTTCGTGCTGCCCGGCCTTCCTCCGTTCCGCAACCTGAGCCTGCAAGCCGTGCTAATGACGCCCGAGGGGCGGAAGGCGAGCGAGCGGGTGGTGACGCACACGGACGAGGACGGTGAGCTCTGCCCCCGCGCCTCGGGGTTGCTGCTGCTGGGGTTAGATTAGTCGCCGCTTTTTATTTGAATGGCTGAATGAAATCTGGATATCGTTGATCCAGACGAGATAGATAATGCTGACCAATTTGACACTGGTCCGCCACTGCTGTCGTACAACAAACCGGGGTACATCGTGGAAAAAATAATATTTCACAATACCAGAATAGGGGAGAATTGTGTGTAAACACTCCTCAAGAAGAGGACGATCCAGGGAAAACCAGGACAGGTGGCAACCGTGCTCATTCTGCAGGGCCGGCGTGGGAGGTCGCCCGGGTGGAGAGAGGTCACAGGGGGCTTAACGGGGCCTTTCCTTCTCACTCCGGCGACCTTCAAGGAGATTTCTTTCACTTGGTGCCAAAGCTGCATCTCGTTGTCTATTTATTAAAACAAATATTACAACTTTTTTGACATTTTGGGACGTTGAGATAATTTTTTCCTCAGCTTATTGGTTTTTAGAATTCTTGCCCGGAGAGAGCGAGCTTTCATCTGGCACCCTCTTGTACGATTGTGTATTTTCCTTTCCCACCTTGGCCGTATGTAAGCCGTGGTGGAAATGAAGATGAAAAGCTCCTGGCAGGACTCCCAGTCTCCCTCGATTCGGACCGCGTACAATGAGGCCCTGTTTCCAGTGGGCTCGCCGGCCCCTTCCTTGACGTTGAGTAACATTTTCCACTGAGGCTGCCCTTTCGCCCCTCCGGGTAATTGAGTTCCTCGGTGTGCACCTTCCCGCCTGGAGCCGAGCCGTGCGGTTCTGTGCGAGCGCCGACCCCGTTTTCCACAGCGGGCGACACTTTCCCGGGTTGCCAGAGGATAAAGGTTCAGCCCCGCAATGACTTAATCACAGCACGGGCGAACGGTAACCTGGATACTCCGCACGTGGCTGATTGAGGGTTGGCTGGTCCCGGTTGGGCTGCTTGCCTTTTAGTTTTGCTGTGGCCGTGGCTGCTTACCGGGACACATTGTGTGAATAAACATATCTCACAATGCTGAAATCGTGGAAGATTGCATGTAAAATCATCATCGTGAGCGGTCCATTATTATTATAATACAGCTGACAAAAATCAGGAGTTTAATTTCCCGGGAAGACTCATATATTGCCCTGGATGGCTGCCCCAGCTAGAGAGAAGATCCTGGGAAAACCAGGACCTCTGGCAACTTTACCTTTGTTCAAATCCAACCCTTGCATATTCTGTGCCACGCGGCTCTGCCGGTGCAGCCAGCTGCTGCAGCGGCCAGCACCGCCGGAATCCCCGCCGTGGGACGTTCGGCGCGATTACGGGGGTCCGGTCGTTACTCTCGCCACCTGCTGCTGCGTCCAGCTGTAATTAAACGTCTACCCGAGCGCAAAACAAAACAACAAGCCACAAACGCCTCTCGTGGAGCAAACTTTACCCAGGCCTTGCATCCCACGCTGCAGCAACGATAATTTGAGAGCTTTGTCAAAAGGTAAAGGTGTAGCCCTGCAATTGATCTCCTTGCGCCGCTGCTGGCAGAAGGGCCTATACTTCCGCAGAGGCCAGACATCTTAGAAGAGGTGGGGAGTAAACAAAACTTTACCCTACCACATGTAACCTGCCGATCGACTTGGGTGGACCATTTAAAGCAAAAAAAAAAACCCTTTAAAACTGTGGCGCAGCAGCTGCACTGCCACATCAATTCTAGTGATGTGACTCCATTTGATGTTCAATGATTACGTGTGAGCGTGACGTGACCCTCATCACATCTCATCTCTGCACATTTGAAAGGGCACCCCCAGTGGCAGTTGTCCCTGTGGGCACAAGGTGGCTCGTCACCTTGCCGACAAGCGGGCATTAGTCTGCCCAGTAAGGGACGATGATTGCTGAGTGTAATTCCACCGAGGGATCGATCTGGCCCTGGTTTGTGTCGCTGCGAGACAGGATTGTTTTTTTTCATTGAGCCGCGTCTTCCTTCCAATGCTGGTGCAGTGGCTGTGGCCACGGTGCGGTTAACGGGTGTCCCCCACTCGGTGCAGTGAACGGGTGCCCCGCACGCGGTGCAGTAAAGAGTGTCTCTCTTCCTCTTACTCCTCAGTCCCGGGGCCCGTGTCCCTCGAGCGTGTCCAGGGCGTCGTCACCGAGGAGACGATCTTCCTGCAGTGGAGTGAGCCTGACGAGCCCAACGGCGCCATCGTTCAATACGAGGTGAGACCCGTGTCGGGCACACGCACGCTCGTGCCGCACGTCGCTCGTTCTCCTCTGCTGTGCCACAGCCGTGAGTGCTGTCGATTCCCAGCCACTGACCCACTGCCTGCAAGTCCAGTTGAGATATCACTCTCCGTCGATGTTCGCCGTGAATGGGAATCAAACTAAGGATGGCAGGTTCATAGGGCGGCGCGCTAGTTTTTGCGCAACTGCTCCACCCAGACACTATGCATATATAGCATTTTTATTATTTCATCATCGTCATCATCAGCCATGGTCGATCCGCTGCTGGATGAATGTGCTCCCCAAGCCGCCGCAACTTCTGATGATCCTGCGGTGCAACCATCCGCCCAGCAGCTGCTGCACACAAATTGATTTTTACTCCTTATAACTTGAATTTAAGATCAATAATGACTAAATCATTAAAAATGCATATGAATGTATTACTCACATTAATTACACGCAGCTATTGTTGCCGAACAGGAGTTGCCACTAATAGACAAACTGTGCGAGACCATGCGCTTTGCGTCCATGGCCAGAGGCCAGCCGCCAGCGTAAGTCCTCGAGTCCCAAACTCCCCCGCTACCCACGGCACTGCACGCTCGTGCGGGCCCTGCTCAGGCCTGACACCCGCGTAGCGCGATGGACTGGGAGAGAGTCGGAGCCGTCTGTCTCGGGAAACTTTGGTTTGCTGCCAGCTCCCCCGGGAGTTCTAAACAAGCAGAGCGTGAGAGCATGTTTACGTTCGGAGAGTCTCGGCCACCGGGCTATCGACCCTTCCAGCACCGTGGTGCTGCCCCAGCCCACTTACTCTTCTTAACACTCAACGTGATATCTCTAACTTGCTAAGTAGGGACATCGTATCAGGAGCCACACAGTCGATTGGTAATCCACTGCCGGAAGAAGGCCTCCTCCATGGCGTGCAGGTCACGGGGGTTGCTGCGCCAAACACACCGCGCCGGTGAGTGGGGTTGGTGGACGGGTGAGCAGCATCCGTTCACGTGACACTCACCACTGAAATTAGCCAGGGCCGGGGGTCAAACTCAGGTCACCGGATTGTGCTGACAACTGTGCCACCGCTCCATCAGTGATGTCGTCACTCTTCTGCTTCTTGCCTCCTGCACTTCACATTTACTTTATGAGGCCTTCGTCCAGCAGTGGATAGATCGTGAGTGATGACGATGTCGAGTATAACGTGTGTTGTTAGTGTGTTGTTAGTGTGTTGTTAGTGTGTTGTTGTGTTGAATCGGAGGCGACGGAAAGTGTACGCCTAATAGACAACCTGCAGGCTCATTACATTTACAACACGGAGGAGCCGTCTGTCATTTACGATGATGGTGATGTCATTTGTCTGCCGAATGTCAATTTATCCTAGAGGGAGGAAACGCACTCTATTGATTGTTTTTGTATGCTATATAAATCTCAATCTGTTTGCAGACCGTACACGTCACACCAATTAATTACTTTACACTTTACACATCGCAGAATGAAAATTGTGCTTGTACCAACCATCGCCAAGGCTGCTTGCGAATGGCCTCCTTCAATATATTTAGCGTGCTGTGTGTGTTTTTTGTTTGTGGCGACTTTTTTACTTGTTTACAACAACAAAAAATCCTTCTAGAATGTGTATGTTGCCTTTTGGTGAAGCCCGCGGAATTGCAGATTCTTTAGCGGGGAACACGACACATTAAATTACACGTCCTCGTTTTTTTTTCACGCGGTTCAAGGGCATTCCGCTATTCAACACCAGGCTGCCAAGAATTCACTCGTCCCGTTCCAGCCCCAGTCATTTGCCACAAGAGACACAAAGCACGCCTAACTCCTCTCGCGGTAAAGGCAAGGGCACTTGACGGACGCGTCACCGTTATTGTGGGAGCCCCTGGCTTAAAGTAATAAATAAAATCTAACGCTTCCTTTCATAAAGAGGGGTGGGAGAGGGGAGGGCTCTGTCTGGATTCTGACAAAAAATAGCGACTTTGTGGGGTTGCTTTGATGGGTGCGGCGGTGTTCCGCCGTGCCAAGCACACGGCACTCGAACTTTGCAATCGCTCATTGCGATTGCAAAGTTCAGGGACATCGATGTCGCGACGATTGTCACACCGTGGAGTTTTGCGTCGCATCGTGAGACCGGCAATCGCAGCACCCCTCCGCTCTTCTGCTGGCCGTGGGCCCAGCTTGCAGGGGACCATTTGGTACAAACATCCATAACTACCTTGACGATCATACCTGTCTTCTGGGATGACAGCTTCCGGCGTTGGAGCAGGACGTGAGTGCAGTTGATTTGCCGTGGCGCCTCGTCTGCTTCGCAGTGATTGTGCGTGGCCATTAAGGGGAGTTTTGAAGGTGGTCGATTTGCGTTATTGTCTAAGACTCATTATGCACTGTGGCGTGGGAGCAATGTTGCGTAGTAATTTAATATAAAATTTACTTATTATTCTCTCAAAGTAAAAATAGATTTCTCAGCCCCTCGGCATCCCAGAATTATGTTGCCAGACAGTATTGTTTATTCATAATAAAAGTTGTTTATACAAGCAAACTATTTAGCGTTTTCAACATTCGGTGTGCCATCAGCAGTATGTGTTTAATTAATTATTTAGAATTTTTTTTATATCTGGGAAAAAAGTGTATTTATTTATTTGATTTGTATTTTTACATGGTGCTTTCCACTTATTTACTATTAATGAAAACACGTTTTCATAACTCGCGAAAACCTCTCAAATGTAAGGAATATGAAAATAATGGTAATTGCAGTGGCCGGGTAGCTCGGAGGTCAAACCGTAGAGCCAGCGAGTTGATAGTCTGAGCCTGGTCACCCAATGACTGTACAAACTAAACCCATCAAACAAAATTTGACTCGGCGCTTGATTCGGTGCGATGATCCCACTGGGGTCTAAGTGGCCACGCGGCCGCGAGTCGGCGAGGCCCGGCCGCAACGCTTGCGGTCACCGCCGGGCCGTGTGGCCGTCGCCCGTGGTGACGTTCCGCGTCGCCCCGCAGGTCTTGTACAGCGCCGTGCGGTCGGTGGACCCGGCGTTCAACGTGGAGGACGAGCACGGCCAGGCGCACAAGCCGGCCAACGAGACGCAGCACCTGTTCCCGGCTCTCTACCCCGGCACCACCTACTCCTTCTCCATCCGCGCCAGCACCGTCAAGGGCCTCGGGCCCTCCACCACCGTCTACTTCACCACCAAGATCTCAGGTACGCCGCGCTACCGTCACGCTGCCGCTCGCGACATCCGGGGAGGGCGGACGTCCGCGGAGGAGACGGAGCGACGAGATCGGCTCGCGTGCGGGAGCCAGGTGGAGTGTTGCCACCGTGAGGGACGCTCTTAAATCCAGCAGCGATTCTATCGTGGCTGATGATACGTCGCCGTGTGATCCTTGCAGCGGGAAGTTTGATGCAGTACTGTGATTGTGTTCTATCGATCCCCCAGTGTGGATGGTCTGAGCTGACTCATTCAAAATCCCCCGGTTTGGTGAGATGAACATTCTGCTGTGAGTAAGGGGGGCCCTGTAAGGTGCCCGAGTGGTACAGCAACTGTGGTGCCCTTCCGTGGGGGAGGGAGCCATGTGACCTCCGCCCCCCACTTCCCCCTTAATAGAGAAGCACCCACACTGAAGATAGATTCTCGACAAGCTCACCAATTAATTTCCATCTTGACAGCAGGAATGTGCTTGCAATTTTGGTGTATAGTTTTTTTTACGTAACGCAAATTAATTGAAAAACCTCTCTGTACGTGTTTATACACGCAAATAGTTGAAACACTTGTAGTAATGTTAATTAGGATGGGAGCTGAACAGGTATTTTATAAGCGTGGTATGTGTGTGTGGAATGCAGCGGCAAGCACACCGCTCTACGAACTCGGCAATTCGAGTTTAATTAACGCTCATGATCAATACCAGTGACGATTATTCTCCTCTAGGTCTACTCAGCATGAAATGAGGATCTGGTGCAGTTTGTAAACATCGCCATTAGGGAGACAAAGACGTCCGGTCATGCAGCTGGCCCTCACTCGCTTAACAGCACTTGCCCCATAAGTCTATTAAGGTTATGCGGAGGATCTTTGTCTTTTATATGTTTGAGTGTACGTATGAATCAGAATCAGGATATTTATTTATACTGGAGGAATCCGATGAGCTATAAAGTTAGTTTTCACAGCTGTCCAGGAGTGTGTGTTTCTGCAGAAATTACACTACCTCGCTTGCTAATTCAGGATTGTTTTGTGTAAAAAAAAAAATCCCAGTTTTTTAAAAATACATTTCTATTTTAATTACTGAGTTGCAGAGGTCATTAGTAACGACCCCTAACTCTTCAGTCCTCTTGTAGTGCTTGAGAATATCGCAGTCTCGTTTGTGAGAAAGTTTGGCGGAGCGGTTCGCGCGCTGCACTGTGAACCCGAGGTCGCGAGTTCAACTCCCGGTCACAGCGAACGTCAGCAGTGAGCAATATCTGCACTGGTTTTCGGCACCCTCTTCACAGCACTGACCATCGTGGTGAAGTATGGTCAAAAAACCCGGAAGTGGCACGGGCAGGCCTTCATCCAGCAGTAGATTTACCAAGAGCTGTGGGGTATTCATCGTTTAGGATGTTAGGGGGCCACCGCATTGACCGTGAAGAAAAGTAAGTTGGCTTGGCCAGGATGCGTCGCTGGCAGGACGGTGGCCGCGGAAGCAGAGAAACTCCCGGAGAAGTCGCCCACCGTGGAGATGGAGCGATCGAATCCGCTCGTGTAAGGGAGCGGATCACTAACTGTCGCGTCGCGGGAGGGTATAAGAAATAGCGATGGTTTGTCGAGGTCCTTATCCAGCAGTGGATGGGTCGACAACGACGACAAAGATGCGGAGAAGGAGATGTTGTGTTTGTTGCATCCTGCGTCGCTGGCTACAGATGCCATTCTCATGATCGAATTACGCGCTTATTTATATATATTGTATTTGGAACACAAAAGAGCTTTCTGTGCAACGAAAATATTCCAGTTATGTGTGGGACCGCGGCAATAATTTGCGCATGGGAAGTACGGAGCACGGAGACCGCAATTTGCAAAGAGAGCACTTAATTCTCCCGCACCGCCCTGTGCCCTCCGACTCGTGTTTGCCAGGCGATTAAATCTACCGTGGCTGAAGTTTGTTTACTTTTGCTGCCAGAGTATTCGTTGAGCATGCTGACGGCTGGTACAGTGGGGTTAGGGATGTTGTGGGCGCGCTGCCGGAAAGTCGTGAATGTGTGAATCCTGGCCGGTGGCAGACCTAGCGCTGCACCCTTCGAGCGGCGATGACATCAGTCCCACTCCCTGATAACATGAGTCCCCGATGCGCTCTCTCGTCATGCCGCCTGCTCTTCGGCACCATGTCCGACGTTTCGTTCCGTGTGCCCATGAACTGCTTCCCGGCACACGGTGTTCATTCAGTTTCCAAAGAAGCTGCCGGCACGCCGAGCGAAACGTTGAACATTGTGCCAAACAAAACGCGGTACGGGCCGAAAACACAGCGGAGATCTGTGCAGCGGCACAACCGTGAAAAACCTGCACAGTGGTAAAATGAGTACCGCCTTGTGAGAAGTCCAGAATGTTCTAGGCTCAGGGCTGCGGATAGAAAAAGAGCACCGCTCGATCATTAGTGGGAAGCCGTTTTTAACCGGAATTGGTGGCACATGCCTCTAATTCGGCCCTCCTTGAGGCTAGGGTTGGTGAATCACGACAAGATTTGTGAAACTTACAAACTTGCTGCTCTGTGAAATTGCAAGGCAAAGACGATACAAAAATATTTTTTATTGAATCCATCTGAGCAGCGCTTTGAGTAATATGCCCTGACTCGATTGCTTGTGTTTTCTCCAGATACGTAGTGTCCGCCCACACACAAAGAGCACTCATCAGAGAAACTGACAAAACTTCCCATGCAGGATGCTCCGAAAAATGGAAAATGCGTCTTGGGAATCAGGTTGGCTTTCTGGCATAAATAAAGATTATTATTAGTATTGTTGTTGTTGTGGTTGCTGGAGCAGTCGTGGAGCAGTCCGTGTTCACCAACCTGCACTGCCCATAGTGGTGAAGTATGGTCAAAAACATTCCTATGACCATCCCGGGGTTGGGTGGTCCAGCAAGTGGATTGACAACAGGCTGTACATACACGTCGTGTTACTTATGAGTCAGTTAAATTGGGATGCCCAATGTCGGGGCCAGCGGTAGGAGTGGCACCAGCGGCCGTCACCGCTCAGGGTGCCAGCGGAGAGGTCGCCTCTCTCCGTGACCCCCAGCGCCCAGTGGCCGCACAGGGAGCCGGAGCGACGCTGCCGGCGCCTGACGACGTCGCTCCGTTGTGTTCACCGCGCTCCGGAGAGACCGACCGCGTGTCGGACGAACGCACGGGGGTCGTGGTGGGCAAACATGTTCCGTGACCCGAATGTCATCATGGATGCGTTTAGACTGGATGATTCTAGACAGGAGGGCGACGGGACGCCGAGCGTGACCTGCAAGGGGGTCCGAGACGCAACCGCATTTAGCCGCTGTTTAAATCTCGAATGGTATTTCAATTTGCGCTACAGGGGTGGCAGCGGGAATGTGCTTTCTGGGGAAGTGTTGACGATGACAAAACAAATAATGTTGGTCCCTTATGAAAACAAAAACACATCTTTAGCGAGACAGTTGTAGCCGGAGGGGTTTGTGTAAAAGATCAATGTGCAGCCCCATAATGACTCGCTCCACTCGAGGGAGCTCAAGAAAGGCCCTCTTACAGGGTATTCAACCTATTATTTAATGCTGTCATGGAGGAGGGAGGAGTACCCACACTTTACCCCACCACGCAGGACCTGACAATCGATTAACTGTGTTGAGGCCATTATTCAACTGCCGTGCCAGGAGATGGAATCTAACTGGCGACCTCCAGATCGCAGGACCAGTGCGCGGACCGTCACACCGCTGTGTGGCAGCGTCGCTCGTTTGAATGTCACTGTGGTATTTTATCTTTGGCCGTCGAACGCGGTACGTAAACACGACGGAAGCGGTGTCCACCTCTGCGTGTCGGAGGTGGAGATGGAGGGTCGTGAGCGACGCGCGCCCCAGGCTGACGCGCCTCTCCTGCGGCTGTGCTTGTAGCTCCGACGCTGCCCCACTACGGCGCCGACTCGCTCATCGACTACACGGACACCACGGCCACCATCCTGCTGAAACCGGCACAGGCCAGAGGGGCCCCCATCAGGTCAGTTAAGGATGCGGACGAACACACACGCACACGCACAAAGACAAAGATCCCCCGTATAGCCTCAACAGACTGTAGGGTCAAGTACTGTTAGCACCTATGAAGGCCGGAACGGTACACGAGGGGGTGGGTGGCCAGCACCACGCCCGACTGCCTTTGTCTCCCCAGTGGCGATGTTTGAACACTGCACCAGGTCCTCATTTGAGGCTGAGTCGACCTAGGGGAGGCCCAGGACCGGTTCAGATAATCGTAACTGGTGTTGGCTGTGAGCGGGAATCGAACCCGTGTCGCTGGGTTCGTAGTGCAGCGCGCTAACCGCTCCACTATCGCTCCCCACACACACACACATGTACACACACGCACACAGACATGTAAACACACAAAGCCAAAACAAAGACCACCCCCTCTGTAGCATTGACAGAATGTCGGGGCAAGTGCTGTTATTGAATAGCATCACGCCTCTATGTCCCCAATGCCAATGTTTACACGCTGGATCTAATTTAAGGCTCTATAGATAATCACACACCGACATATCAACATACATACATACGCACCCAGATCCAAAACATAGGCTTCCATACACAAAAATCACATACACACAATTGTACACTTATACACACATACCAAACACACACACATATCAAACACGCACATACATATACAGGTAGCAACAACAGCAGCCACCATTTTCCACCAAGCTGTGGTGCCGTCACTACAGCACTTGTGCCAGGCTAGGTGTACTTTGCATCCTCGTGAAGTGTCAGGTGCGCTGTGGCATGAGGTCATGGGACAGATCCAGATGTCATCGGTTGACTGACTGAGATGGCTGGCAGATGCACCACTCGTGCTCCCAACTGAGCTCCCAACTCGCTGCCTTTTAGCCGCCCGGCGCTCCGCTCGTCGTTGTGCAGATTTCCCAAGACAGCTACTTGGAACAGAGGACGACGGTCCTGGGAAAACCAGGACAGGTGGTAACTCCCATTTTGGTCTGGTCTCATCTAGCACACAGGGTTTGACATCCAGCCTGAGCTCAGAAATCCTGGGTTGTGAAATCACGAAGCGTTGCTTGCTCCACGCAGAAGGGCAACAAAAAGAAGCCACCATGTATAAGAACCCCGTGCACGTCTCCACCAATAACGAACGCCGTAGCGGTGATTTCCTCTCCTTCAGCGGTGCCGGGTATTGGTGTGCGCGTAATCGGTTGTAGATCTCGGATACGGTGGCAATCCGCGTGCAGCACAACGGTGCGGGTTAAATGCTTAATTACTCAATTTTTTTTAATGAAAAAGGTTTTGTATTGGCTTGGGAAATATTTTTTTGTATGATGCAACCACCACAATATGTTGCTATCAAAGATTTTTCTGGCTCTCTTGTGCCAACACACTTTTTTTTATTTCCAACTTTGCCCGCAGTAAAGCACGAGAGTATTTGCATAAGTAAATTACTATGTTAATTAGATACATCTTATCTCGTGGCTGTTTCGTTAAAGGCCAGTAAATTGTGTTTTCCAACATGTCTATGTTTCACTGGGTCTGATGTGCAAATTACGCAAATTGATTTGGCTAATTTCACATCGTCTGTAAGTCTCTTGAAGATTTGAATGCATCTAAGGCCAGGCTAATTGAAGTTCTTACGCACACATCAGGGTTGGGCATCACTAGCAGGCGAAGGAGCTGCATGCTAAGCTGCTGTTGCCTCCCGTTTGCGCGTTGACTCACAGTGGGTGAGACGTTTTGATTAAATACGGACCCCTAAACACAAACTGCCAGTGAGATGTCACAAAAGATTTGCGGAACTAATTTGATCGGAAAACATGAAACCGCGTTAGTCTTTCACAGTGTAGTGTCAGCGTTTTTTTTTTTATTTCGGGGAAAATTAAGGTATTCTGAGCATCCTGAGAAATACAAAAAAAAATCACAAATGAACGAATTGATTGTTTTGGCCAATGCTCTCTTATCATCAATTTCTAATTCTCATCGATGCTAAATTATTCTTGGGCAAGTTATGTTTGCGAGCATCTATCAATGCCAGCATGGTTCACGATGAGACGGTGTGACCAGCACTGCCGCACCGGTGCTGGTTTTTATTTAGATCGCCGCACCAGCAGCTACTCATTTGAGGCCGAATCGACAACCAGGTTGAGGCCCAGATTTTGGTTAAGTCCTCACTCTCCACCGTTGTTAGCCGTAGCACGGAATAGGACCCGAGTAACCGGGTTTGTAGCATGCTGCACCGCCGCTCCCCGCCGCGTATTGCACGCATCCGCGGGCTTGTGGTGAGGTGCGCTCGATGAATATAAATGGAGCCTCGACTCGCGGTTAAATGAGCTGTTAAAATTGATGGCCGTCCGCCGCTTCTCGACGGAGGATGCGGGGACTTGAGTCCGCCAGGTCAGTGCCCAAGGTTGCCAGCGCCGCGCGCGCCAAAGCCACTGGCGCAGTCACTCGAAGGTCCTAAAATTTATGCAGCTGCTCCCGTGTGTTTATCGCGAGCCCTTTCCGTACCCCGCTTCGCACTCTCGCTCGCATGAACGATGACGGAATTTGCGAAAAAAATCGTCCGCTGTGCTGCCGGGTCCACCGTTGGCCGTGACAACTCCCAAGATGATACGCCACGTGGATGTGGCACATCGTCGCGGTGTTGATGAGGATAATGGCACTGATTTTAAATATGATTATGATAATTCTATAGTGTAGTTTATGGAGAAGTGTGTTGTCATGTGTTTTTATTTTCTATACAGTTGCTAAGCCAGCAACAAACAATACTACAGATGAGTTGACACGTTTCTTGAATCGAGGTTATTATTATGCGAGCTTTGGAATAGAGATGGCAATGATGGGAGGAGGGAATTCCGCAGTGGAGCAGTGCGAGGGAAGAACGAGTGGGAGAAGCAAGACGACTGCCTAACAGTGTGGTGGTGAACGCAGTGTGGGTCTGCACTGCTCTGTGAACCCGACGACCCGAGTTTTATTCCCGGCCACGGTTAACATCAGCGGCTCGGTTGTCGGTGCCCTCTTTAGCATCAGCGTGAAGAAGCGCGGTGAAGCAACTCCTGCAATCAGCATGGCATGAGGAGACTTTCACACAGCAGCGGTTTAACAAAAGGGTGTCAACGTAACTCCTTTAGTCATTTATCCATCTTAGAACAGAAGAGGCATTCATAATACAGAGGCATTGCTCGAAGGAAGGGCCAATGACGAAAATGTCATGATCTAGAATATTCTCACTTGATGAGGTCCGAATCAACAAAGCATCTGATGTCAGTTTGAGCATGCACACCACTGGCAATGCAGTTCCTGAATGTTTGTGTTTACTTCTGGCCGCGTACGGATCGAGCGGCGACAATCGCAAACCGCTCGCGCATCGTCACGTTCCACGGCGCTCACGCCGGTGCGGGACGAGGGCCCGTGGTGATGCCCGCGGTAACGGCGACCGCCAATCTCCCCCCCGCCCCGCAGCGCGTACCAGCTGGTGGTGAAGGAGGGCCCCTCGGGGAAGGCCCGGCGGGAGGCCGGCGGCTGCTTCTCGACGCCGCTGGCGTACCGCGAGGCGCGGGCCCAGGGCTCGCCGTTCTACTTTGCGGCGGAGCTTCCTCCCGAGGGCCTCCCCGTGGAGCGGCGCTTCGTCGTAGGGAGACAACCACACGTACGGTGGCTACTGGAACGCGCCACTGGCCGCCAGCAAGGTCTACGACATCTTCTTCCAGGCCATCAGCAGCACGCAGGAGGTGGGGGCCCTTGGCGAGTCTCTCGCGGTTGCCCAGCATGGGGCCCTGGAGGCCCCGGAGGCCCCGGAGGTCGCGGAGGGCCCAGAGTGCCACGTGGCCAGCGGCAATCGGCGCTTGTAACGCTTGTAAGAGATAAAGGGTGAATACGTCCGTGAATTGAGCAAGGTTATTCAAAGAGCTTTGGGAAAAGAGGTGATCAAAGGGAATTCCAAAGCCGGGTAGTGTGAGGAGAGATGTAGAGAAAGAGATGGGTGCTCACCTGCAGTGCGGTGAGTGACTGGGTGAGTGACTGGGTGAGTGACTGGGTGAGTGACTGGGTGAGTGACTGGGTGAGTGACTGGGTGAGTGACTGCGTGAGTGACTGGGTGAGTGACTGGGTGAGTGACTGGGTGAGTGACTGGCTGAGTGACTGTGTGAGTGACTGGGTGAGTGAGTGTGTTGTCGTGAACTGCAGTATGGTCGTTGAACTCCATGTGGATGATGAGACAGTGTCTGGTAGACCTCAACATGGGTGGAGAAATCAACAAGTGTTCAAAGGGGCAGCCAACTCTACCCAAGTGTGCAGTGAGGTCCCAATTGGGTGCTCAAGGGAAGCAATTTGGAGGCAGAGGGGAGGCTGGGTGGCTCGGAGGTCAGAGGGTTGAGCCAGCACAGCTGAGAGCCTGGGATCGACTCCAGGTTACAGCTGCCCGTGATTACATTGGGTTCTCACGCGCAGCGCGTTCATAGCCTCAGCGCATTAATGGCCACCATTGACTGTGCACAAAAACACACGTCAAAAGAAAGTTGGATCTGCCTTTAATTTGGCTAAATAACAGCTCTGAGAATTAAAATGTTAGCTTTACTGTCATGCCAAGATTATGACTCTCATATGCCGAGCAAGTTGTGGGAGGTGCTCCGCTGCACTTTGTGTGACCGGCTGTATAGCCGCGGAACATTGATTTGACAAATACAAGTGGCATTTATCACCGCTAAATCCATTGAGTGGAAAGGGCTGAGTGATGTAGCGTGTAGGTGTTCCGTTATTTACTTTGTATCAGTTGCACTTTTAACTGTTAGTTAATTTTGGTCGGATAATCCATATGTTTAATCGTAGTTGTGTCATTGATCGGCATGGATTTTGGCCAGCAAGAGTCGTTCGTCGGCAGGCGTTGACGTCGGGAGGTTCCGCAGCCATGGCGAGGTGAGAGTAGAGTGTGAGGTCGCTGCCCCCGGGCACCTCTGCGGTGATGCCGTCCCACTCCCGAGCCGCACTTCGTTCCAGGCCTTGTACCGCCATGCGATTGTCACTCCCCAGCGTGCCGCCGCAACGCGAAAGCTTGCCCTCCCCTGTTATTGCGAAAAAAAAATGATATCGCGCGGTCCGTCAACCTCATTCTCATTCCGTGTAAACTTCCCTATTAAGTTTCTCCGCGCTAACCTTCGCCGTGACCTCATTTACTACGACTGCACCTTGTGGGAAAACGATCAATTTGGACCGGCGTCTTCGCCGCTGACCAGAAGTTGCATTGACGAGGCGCGCTGGGCTGTGCCACGGCAGGGAGACGCTAATTGATCATTAAGTCGGTGTCCCAATGCGGGCCAAGTAGCCGCTGATTTTTGGCTGCGTCGTGCCAGCCACGATGCGCGGCGTGGGGGGTGGCCACCTCGCCAAAGAAGCGGAGCGACGGTTCACTCGGACCATGAGAGATGGTGGCGGCTTGCGGAGGCCAACATTCACCAGTGGATAGATCAACAGAGACGAGCGCTCATTTGTGCAGGGAGACACTCGGATTTTAGAATGATCACGAATGCGACAACGTTCACAAGTAATGCGCTCTGAGGGCTTCCTTCACGGTAACCACCGTAGATCCTAACGCACTCCCGCACGGACAAAGAAACGAATCAGTCACTCAGGCGCCCTGCGCAACGCGCTGCTTGTTGAGCTGGACTGCGAGCACTGGCATTTGGCAGCCATTGGCTCAGAAGATAAGATTATATAGATAATGATTGTGGAGCCATACTGCTCGCTTACATAAAATGTACCGTGATTCATGGGATTCATGAGTCAACGTAATGGTAGATGCCTTAGTTTTTTTTAAAGGGTGTGCGTGCGGTCGAAGGCACCATCTGTTCAGAAGTTTGTGCCGTCTAAATCTCCTGCTCTCTCTCTTTGCGACAAATGTAATCTCTTGTCGGTTAAATCACGGCACCGCTCTGTCTGTCATCCCTCTTCTGTCCAGGAAACCAAAATTGCCTGCGTGAAGCTCGCAAAGCGAGGTAAGGCCCCAACTTCTTCCACGTGTTGTTTGTTGTCGAGCAAGGGCAAAGCGTCCCCCATTACCCTACAATGTGCACGCTCGCGTGCTCGCGCCTTGCCGAGCGGTGGCCCGGCAAAGCCTCGAACGCGCCGCCAACGCGTTGGATGTTCGCCACGTAAGATGGCGCGCGCGCGCTCTCATGCCGAAGGAAATCGGAGAGAGTAATCATTCAAACGTCTACACTAATCGGCGCTTTGGTGACATTTTTGCACTTTGCGGTACGGTGCAACGTCGCATATCCGACTCGCCGGGGAACTGACATGCGAGGGCGAATACGTGAAGCGGTCGGCAAACATAGAGACCCTTGCAGTTACACCATCGTACACTGATTGGTTATTGGACAACATCATGGGACCTCCTCAGTTTCGAAGACAATGCATGTATTATCAGAGTATGTTTTTTGTTTGCATTCTCACCACAAGTATTGTGGTTAATGCAGACATGATTCCTTGTAAAAGGTGTTTTTTGTTGCTAGAAAAAAGGGGAAAAAACCTATGCTCATCTTGGACAACAATAAAGTGCACACTTTAGGAACATGGGGAAATGCATGACTGTGCTTTTTAAGTGAGCGAATGTACTTAAGTTTAACAACGTGGGGCTGTGCGTGAAACGGTCGGGTTTGTGGCGAGCTGGCAAGTGACAGTTATATCACGTACGCACAATAATATCACTACGATGGTTGTGGGCGATTAATTGGTTAGGTTGGATGCGTGACAGTCGGATATGGGACTTTGTGCTGCGATTCTAATCTGATTGCAAGTTCCGCCAAAATAAAATTCAGGGCAATGCATCTCACTAACTCTGGGACGTATTTTATTGGCTGATTTGGAGGCTTCGTTAGCTGTTGAATCGGTGTCATTAGCTCATCACAATTTAATTACTTGGAGATACATTGAATAATTGGGCTCTGTGATAATGGCATTACGTTTGAATGAGACGACTAAGGGATGTTTTGTCGTAAGTGATTCCGTAATTGAGTTTTATCCACCAGACAGCATGGTTCCTGTCCAGCAGATGCATTGTGATTGCTTAGAGTTGAATTGTCAACTTAATGTATTTCTTTTACATCCCACAATATGGATTTTGTCTTGACTGACTGGCCGTTGTAATATATGTGTATATTTTATTCGCGTTAATTAATTGTGATTTAATTAAACCCGGTCACCGGGTTAAGCCTCGTCAAATGGATTCTTAGTGACAAAATGAAATGGTGCTTTTCTAATATGTGCATGCGTGCTTACTCACCTACACAGACACACGTACGACATCCGCACGCACACACGCACACACACACACCCACTCGGCAGAATTATTCACATTTTCTCTTGTGTTTCAGAGATGACACTTTCACACTTAAGGCATGCTGGCTCTTAATGTTAACCTTTCAGAGATTCTGGTGTTCATGCAAAACAGTTGTGAACATGCTGATTGCCTTTTATGCTGTTGCCTTTTCAACCCTATTCTGTCCAAATGGTGAGCCGCCACAATAAGCCGCTGAGCGGCGAGCCGCGTAGCAGGGACCACCAATTAGCGCTGGGGGGGGCATTCGGGATCGGACCGCCGCTTCAGTGAAACGCACGCCATAACGTTTAGAGCGATCAGCTAAATCGGCCGTGGAGCGGTGGCACAGTGGTTAGCGCGCTGCGGTCCAAACCCATCGACCGGCATTCGATGATTACCGGCGATGGCTAACGTCGGTGGCCGGCAATAACCCCCCGCTTCCCTTCGCCAACACGCGATGACCGGCGTGGTGAAGTATGACATTCCAAGCCCCACGACCGATACGGCGTGGGGAGGCCTTCATCCAGCAGTGCATCGACAAAGGGCTGTGAAGTGAACTTGCTCGTGGAGCCGAGTGCGGACATTGTGCTCGCGGGTGCCACATGGCCAGAGTGGGGTTGGAGGGCTGCCGGTGTTTGCTGTGTGTTTTAAAGGTTTCTCGCATGTCTCTTGCCTTAGCTGCTGTAGTGTTGAGTCAGCTAACCACCACACACATTACCACAGCCCATAGGGGGGGCGGAGAGGACCACGAGACAGGTTAGCCCACCCCTTGCATGTCTCTCTCTCTCTTTCTCTCCGTGTCCGCGTCTCTGTCTCATTCGTCTCTTCATCCGGGGCCCTGGCGGAGTGCGAGGCAAAGTGAGGTTGTTTTTAAAATCAAGGTTGCTGAGCAAAGGCCCAAAATGCCGGGCATCCAGCAGCAAACAACACTATTAATTAGTAATAGATGAGCGTTGATACGCTTCTTAAATTCAGTAAGGTAATGAGAACATGGTAAAGGAGATGATGGGAGGGATGTCTTTATGGCTTTGTGGGTTAGGGTTGCTTCCTTACTTCATCTGCGCTCTCAGAATTGAATATCTGGGGCCCGTTAGCAAAGTGGTGCTTAAAGAACAAATAGTACAAAACTAAACCCGTTAATAAATAGCACAGCCCTTCGTAGCAGAGAGATGGAGAGGCCAGAGAGATAGAGTGAGCAAAAGTTGGAGGCTGCGCAGAGTGAAGACACAATTCTGGCTGCTTGTCTGGAATATTCATTGACGCTGTCTGAAAATTTGATGCGGACTGCCTGAAACCTCTGCAGTATTTGTGCAGAGTGCCAGAACATGTTTTAAATGTCTGCCTGAATTTTTGAGCTGGGTGCAGCCACTAAGCCACCACAGCTGAACGCAACAGCTGCCGAGGACGGCGTGACAACAAGCAACTAAATAAGTAAACAAACAGCAACCTCTGTCACGACCAAAACTCTCTCGTCGCGATTCAAACACAACGTGGCTCACGTGGCCCAGGCTGTGGCAAGGCGTCACGTCGCTGCGAACGCCCGGCCCTTTAAAGTCGCGCGAGTCTTGACCTTGCGGTGCGAGCGCCGGCCATTGCGTGTCGGGCTCCGTGTGCCCTTTGGTGGCAAATCCCACGGCGAGGTTTCTCACCGTTCGCGCCGCCGCACGCGCTGCCGGCACTTTGCTTGCGCACTCGCCGCGGCCCCGAGCTCCTTCCCCTTGGTCCGGCTATTTCCTGTGTCATGACCGACTCCCCATCACGGAACGACTCCCCCCCCCCCCCCCTCTAACCCCACTACCTTCCTCGCATGTCGTCCACACATTTCACATTTCCATTCCCATCTTGCACGTGTTCTTCCCCTTTTGAAGGAATTTCCCCAAACGTTCTGATTTCGTCGTTAAATATGTGTGTGTTGCATTTCCTCGTTTGACTTGCGTCCAGCGGTGTAGATATCGAGTGTGCAGACGGTGCAATTACACCGGAGCGCACAGGGCCGGAGTGCCCCATGCACGCCGGGCAGTGACGAGGAGGGAAATTGGTCTGTGGGAAGGAGGAGGCGGGGGGGGGGGAGTGGAATTTCCTTTCAAGGCCCATGCCAACTTCGCTACGTTATGCCCCATCGTTATTTGCCACGTGCGTGCACAGTGGTGTGCTCGGGACCGCCAAATATAAATGACTCGTTAGGCGCCATATTTTGGCGGGGAGAGCAGGCAATGAAAATCGAAACTTGCCAATCATTTAGGCAAAAATATTGCTGACACAGCCGAGGAATAAAGGCCACGGACAAAAACTGCGCGGAGCTGACAGCCGCCAGTCTGTGCCGTTTAATAAATTAGAGCGGTGAAGGTGCGCGCCTGTTTGCCAATTCAGAGGCTGCCAGTCACTCGGGTCAAGTTTGTTTACCAAATAAAAATAAATAAGGCGTAGGCGCACAGCACCTACCCCACACGGAGTTTCGAAGCGAATGACATTTTATTTATAAATTAATATTGAAAGGAAATAAATAAAGTGGAGTGTTCTTTGGCATCTGCACGGCAGAAAGCGGCAAGAAAAGATCAATTTTGTGCAAACGTGGGAGCCTCTGCCCGATTACAAAGCCCCGCGCAAAGATTAAATATTCTTTAGATTTCTGCTCTCGTCGTCTTAGCCACAGTGTAGAGAGACGCGACTTGCCAATAATTATCTGTTAGAGCATCGGCATTTGCTTATTGAGTCTGTCATTGCTGATGAGCCTCAGATGGGTGAAAGCAGTCGAGAGTTTTCAGTGTTGAAGCAAACGTTCCTGGTGAGCATTCGTTTCGGTAGAATGCCGTTTATTGAATTATTAATGCAGAAGGGGTTTACTCGAGTCGCACGAAGGAAGAGCGTCAATGGCACGAGCGAGGGTCTGTCAGCGTAAACTTAGTAATAGCCGTGTAACCAGCAGCGGGCTAACTGAGGCTCGTCACGTTTCGTGCGGATGCCGTTCCGTTTACGCCCCGCGCCGGGCGAAATGGCGATCGTCTTGCATCGTACGCTGCGATCCACGCGTACGATTTATTCACAACAGCGGCAGTGTTTAGCATTTATACTTGACAGCAATAAAAACTAAACTCGGTTGATCAAGGCCATTAGGAATGGCTCTTGACACGGCGTACGTGGAGGCACTTGTAGCAGCCCAGAGTAATCGTTCGCCCGCGGTGTGGAACGTGTCCATGTGTGTTCGCGAGCCTGATGGATCTGCCTTAAAAGCGCCAGCGTTGTCTTATTTAGCGTGCTTGCATCAAATTGGCGGCCAAATTGGCACAAATTGATTCGCTAACAGTAACAATGATATATTTAGATTGCAGAAAAACTAAATAATCAATTTAACATTTCAAAACACACACATGTACAATCCTCATTTGTCTATGCATCATTTGTGCACACATACACACATAGACAGTGCATGCAAGGCAGTTTTGTCTGCATACGGTGTGCGAATTAACTCACGTTGGTCAACGTGACGCGCAATTGGGGCGCTCGTTAACATTTTCGTCTTCAGATTTTTCCCGTTTGTGACCAAGGCCTCGACATAAAAAGATTGAAATTCCAGCAAATGCACACGCTCGTTGTGCAAATTACCGTCATTCCTCACTCCGTTTGCAAACGCCACGGGAAAAGGCCAGGCAAAATATTTTCGGCATTTGACGATGCCGCTGGCTGCGTCCATGGTAACGGATCGGTGTGATCACGGCATCTTTGGCAACTTAATTGGTGGAATTTCAGCGGGGTTTTAACAACTTGTCCGCAGATATCCGCAGTCCACCGATGCGTGCCGTAGCGAACAGAAGCACCGTGGCAGGAACGCATTCTCGCGTCCCTGACCTGTGCACTTGCCACCCAAGTTGCACAGCGCCAGCAAAGTACAAACATGATGTTAATAAATAGATGCTCAACACAAATGCATAATTAGTTTTTAACAATAAATACATATATTTTAGTTTACTTAAGTCGTGCCCTATTTTGTTTAGATGGAGTGCCCTTGCCAACAACATTTGGTATCCCAGTGGCATTTGTTAAACAATCATGCTGATGAGGAAGACCAATGGGCCAATGGGAGTCAAACTGTATTTGCTCTTTATTAAGGAGAGGTGAATGTCTAAATGCAGGCCAATCTCTAAACTGTCAGCTAGAGCCGTCGGTGCATCTCTGTGGTGGGCGCATTGCCTTGGCACGACGGATAGTTTGGCAAGATCTGGGGGAGGAAGAAAGGCAGAAGTGTGCTCGGATAAAAGTGGAAATGTTCCAATATGATTTGCGATTTAACCATCCCTGCTCCCTCAGGGCACGCCCAATTTGGTCGCTAATACTACCAATAAATTAGCTCGCTTGTACAACAGCCATGCGCATGCGACGGGAATTGAAGGGTTACGAGAAGCAAGAAAGAACCGAGACCCCTCTGAGTTACAGAACATTCTCCCCGTGCAGGCTCCGGTTTAGTCAGTGTCGGGTAAATGTCAGGTTTATCAAGAGGGTACAAGATGTTTCTCTTATTTAAGACCAGGTGAAGAGGGCCCTTTGTGAGCAGTAGCCACTTTTTCAACGGAGACCTGGGTGGGATACGTTGATCGCAATGGCAGTCAGATCCAACGCCGCAGATCGAAGCACAAAGTTAAGCATATTATCTTCTATGCGTACTGCGACGGTTTAAATCACAGGTAAACATGCAGCTTCTGTTGGAACAGACTCGCATCAGAACGGTTAAAGGCAGCTGTCATGACGTCTGTCGGGCTGCTCCAGGGGGTAGAGCTAGCAGAGGACATTGGCGCTAAGTCGAGCAGTGGAACTTGACTGCCGTGGGGAGTGGAGGAGGAGTGGGGGGAGGGCGCCCCCCCTCCCCCACCGCCCGTGCCACGGGGGGGGGGACAGCAGGCCGAGTGGTCTAGCGGCGACCCCAAAGCGGTGACCCCCGTCCTGTTCGCGCCGGCAGTGACGAGGAACGCCGATCTTCCGGACGCCGAGCTCCAGACCGACCACACCATGAAGATCGCCGGCGTCATCGCCGGCATCCTGGCCGTCCTCATCATCCTCCTGGGCATCGTCGTCTACATGAAGCGGAGGTGGGCCCGCGGCACGCACCAGCCGAGCGCCTCACGAGCCGCCCTCTCGCCGCGGGGGCCACGCCGCCGCACTGTGGGACTTGGGGGTGCCCCGCGACCCAATGGGTCCCGGAGGCTTCTGGGTAGATTACGGACGGGATCTGTGAAGTTTGCCTCGCACTTAGTGGCGGATAAGGAGAGCTCAGCTGCACAGCACCCTACTTGTATTAGGTCTACACAGCTACCGGCGACTGATTCAGTACTTGGTCTGCTGTCCACTTGCTACTGTGTGTTTAAAGGTCCCATCATCGGCGTAACCATCATTAGAGAATGGCACAAATACTGCGATCTTTGTTAAAAATAATTGTGGGTGTCTTTTAGCCATATCTCTAATTGTTGGTGCTGTGTTAGACACCCACAGTGGCTGCTCCGCTGTTGCTACACACACACACGTTACCCAGTGACTGCTCTCTGTCTGGATGGGATCCCTGGCTGAGAGAGGAGGGCATCATTTTAGCCAAAACGTGAGAGGCACGGTGTTAAACATGGGCGAAGACAATTTAATCCAGATTGTCTGGGTTTTCCTCCGGGCATTTCAAGTCTCATTGAATGCCTTCTCAATATAATTGCATCTGGTCCTGTTGGCGATTGCTATTGTATGCAATGACATTTTGTCCTACAATGCATTGGAGTTTGGAATGAACTAGAATTGTTTATCCATGTTTTTCAAAAGTGTTCTGCTAAATGTTCAGTTTATTCTGTTTAACCACTTTTGTTGCTCGATGTTCATCACGGAACCCAAACGAATGGAAGCCAGTTTATTTTGCAGCTTACCCATGGGCAGAATTTATTTGTGTATCGTGGCATTTAACCCGACATGTGAAGAATAACTTTACACACGGCCCTTTTTAAAATAACTTCCGGATGAAGACCTACCCAGCCACGCTGGGTCAATCACAGGAGCTGATTGACCATACTTCACCACGCGGGTCCGCACAGGTTGGAGAAGGCAGACTCGGGAGCGTCGCTCGCCACGCGTGTTGGCAGTGGCGGGGGATTGAACTGGGGTCGCCGCCGGGTTCGCAGCGCCGCCTGCGAACCGCCAGCCCACCCGCTAATAAAATATGCATAAAGAAGCCACAGCTGTAATGGAATTGGTGACATTTAAACCTGTTTTTATTATTTCACATTGCGGCGCAACAGAAAATAAAGGCACTTCACATGGTAACATTTAGCGCGAAAGCTCAGCGGGCGTTAATGAGCTCTTGGTGCCCTCTAATCAGTTCGCCTGACATTTGCGGTAATACCCGCAAATGTAAATCAGGTGCACGTCTCCTTTCAAAGATTGCGCTCGAGTCCCCCGGCTTCCGCTCGGAAGCGTTCCACTGCGCTGCGCTACGATGCGGCACCTTCAAGCGATTATTAATTCAAGCCGGAGTGGGTGGGGGAATTGATGATTAAAATTAAAAAGCGCATCTTTGAGCGAGTGTAATTTTAAGTAAACAACTTTATTGAAATTTACCGCAGTTATTAAAAACAAAGTGCGTTTCATGCAATATTAACATACCGAGTGCATATTTTAGAATTCAGCGCTATCCGTGAGAGGGGGAGAGCTGGCGGAAATACGAGAGAAGCGGTGTGGCAGTGTGCTCTGTTTTACAATGATAATTATCTCTTCTTAGCCATTGATCCACCGCCATGTCCACGATGTTCTCTCTCCACTTGCATGTGTTGGCTCTGATATAAAGAAGTATAATTACAATGCACGCCAGGAACAGGACCCGTCAACAATGACTCGTTAATAATGCATCGACCACTCCAGATTGCTATCGTTTTGCTTAACGTTTGGGCAAATCTTACACCACAATCTTACCATCGGGATAATGAATTTTGGTCACAGCGCTGTTGTATTGGAACTGCAAATTAATTTCCCTCTGTTTTTATTTTTGAATCTTTTTTAGTCCCCTCCATTTGTTGGCCTCTTTGCTGTCGATGTCATGAAACAGTGCTTCCCTTCGTGTTAGAGAACGGTCCGCGGAAGCGAATATCACAGCACTACTTCTGTGATTCCTTCAAGTGACCTCGAGATTTCCCTTCAGTTTAAGATGATTGACAGTTGGCGGCATAAATGATTACATTCGGCAAATAATGCAACCCTGGGGTCCACTTCTGCCTTTCTTCCTCCCCTAGATCTTGCCACAGCTTTTAGGCGAATGTCTCTGTGTTTCCAAGGAGCCCACTCCTAGCGAGAGAGCCCCCTTGGTACGTGCTCCTCCTCGGCCTCGTGTGTCACTGCTGCCCTGTGGCCCGCGTGCTACCTCCAGGAGCGTCGTCACACGTTAACAGCCCACCCTGCCTGCTTCTCGCCAGCGTTGTGTCCTGGCTCGGTGCAATTGCCGTGGGTTTATTGCTTTGTTACAAACATCTCTCTGTGCTCAATAGCGCGATCGCACGATTGTGCTTGGCCTGGTGTGCGCATCGGCGTTCATTAATCAGCAATGCGCGGACATAATAGCCTTGTTTCCATTGTAATTATTACGATGTTTCATTCGTATGAACGCATCCTTTAGTTATTTACATGTTTAATTGTCGTATTAATTTAATAAACTGTTTTAAATGATGACAAAGAAAGTTCTTTCAACACAACAATGGCTCTATAATGTTGATGACCCAGAACCAACAGGAAGGATATAACGGTATAATAATGCAAAACAAAAATCCACCACTGGATGAAGGCCTCCCCACACCGTGAGGAGGGTTGCTTGACCATACTTCACCAAGCTGGCCAGCCTGGCTTCTTATGCAGGTGTCTGTAACGAGTGGGTTGCGCAACGCACAAGCCACTGCCGGCAGAGTCCCGTTAGGGAAACGTAGCAGCGGGCCGCGTAGACAACAATCTGATAAACGTAGCAGCGGGCTGCGTAGACAACAATCGGATAAACGTACGAGCAGGCCGATTGCATCCGTGACAGTCGCTCGGTGCGCCGCACCGCGCTCCGCGTGTGAGCGGCGCACTCCACACTCGCAACTCCCTGACGCGCGCAACCACAGAGCGCTCTCTCCGGTCAACAAAGCGCCGCTTGTGAGAATGAATCGGCCCTCTTTGTGTGTCCTGAATAGCTCTCGCTGAATAGCTCTCTCTCTCCACTCACGTTGTGGGCTGTGTGTGCGCGTGTGTGCTCCCTGTAGTAATGGACGCACCTTTATTTCCGCGGCGGTTTGCTCAGGAACAGAGAATCATTACTTGAACTGTGTGACCCTGCTGCCCCGGGGTGACCGGCATTTATCTTGTGACAACGTGGGCCGACTGAGAGCGCGTGGACCTTTTAATAGACGCGAGTCCCCGCTCTTAACCTGTGCACTTCCTCTCATTTTTGTCGAGGCCTGGCGAGCACAGAGGCAGCGCCAGCGTTTGTTGTCAAGGGTATCGGGCACCGATCTTAGATCACACGAACGGAGCTCTGGCGGATGAAGCACACTGTCCACCGGGGGCCCTCGTGCTCCGAGCACGTGACGCGGTCGCACCGTCCGACTGTGCCACGCGCTCACCTGCATTGCGTCTGCGTGGGCAGTGAACTCGTCGCAGGAGAGCTCCTCCTCTCTACAACCCTATGACCTGCGACTCCTGTTATCTCTGAGAGCTGTATGGTCCCGGAAATGCATTATCCGCAGTGCTATTCTTCCTTTTATCTGTGGGTTTTCACATCGTGCTTTACTAACCGGATGCATTTTATACGCACATGTTTGGTGCATAAAAGAAGTCGCTCAACAAATTTGTCCCACTTCCCACGAGTTGTTTGATTTTTTCCCCAGAATACACTTTGGGATATGAGATCATAACTCAAATTTGCAAATGTTTTAAGGTTAGAACGAGTTAATAGATTTGTTTTCCTATTATCCACAATTAACTGACATTATTTCCTGAGGATAAGTGGAGTACATTTCAGCATAACCCCACAGCGATATTCGACCCCCACATCACCATGGATAAGAGGAGTTCTACGGTGTTACAAAAGCATAGCCACCGTTGGGTAAAAAACTACACGGTGTCTGCTGATGGGATTCAGGTAGATATCCACTCGTGCTCAATGCCCATTTGCTGTTTACATAGGCGCCTATGAACACCACCGCTCTTTAAGAGTGTAGCTGCCCATGCGTTTGCAACATTCGCTAATTATATCATATAACCGGGTTAATTGCTGGTAGATTTTACGGCCTCGACTTGCGATTGGTGACACCGTTGTACAGTTGTGCCGCTTTGGGCTTTCCTTCTGCAGTGGGGGGGGGGGGGGGGGCAACGTTTTACAAACGTCGGTGCCAGACTTTTCTGCGAGCGAGCTTCGCTTCGGATCATCCTCCGTGAGTTTGAGGCACTGCGCGCGCCTCCCTCCGTCATTCCACATCAAGAATAGCCAGCCCTGCGAGCGTCGCTAAACCCTTGACTGTCGGTACGAACACAGAGGCCGATATGATACAGAGACTCGGAGTGCAGTCCCTTTGACTGTGGCAAGCCAATCGTACGCTTTGAACGCTGCCTTTGATGCGCAGTCACGTGTGCGCCGTTCACTGTGCAAGAGGCACTTGCGCTTTATAAACCCCGAGGCCTTTCATTGGGATGTTTAATAACATGGCGTGGTGCCTTGTAAACATAAAGGCGATGCTTTCCAGGAGTGCATCTGACATTGCGGACTGGGCGAGCGTCAGGGCGCTGGTGTCCGCGTCAGACTGAGCCGGGCGCAATATGAAGCGCTTTGTTGTGGGAAAGCAGAACGTTGAACATATTCATAATTTTCACGGCTTTGCCTTCGACAAAGTCGCGCTGAATGCGCCCGATCTCCTTGCATCTCACAGGCTAAGCAGGATGGACCCTGGTTCCCAAATAGATGCGCGACCTGCACCGGGGCTTGCCGAATGTTGCAGGTGTGGGGCTGCGTTGTGGTTCGAAGATGGCGGTGTTGAGTGTTGCCAAACCAATCGCTCGCTGGCCAAACGCCCGTTGTAGCAGGACCCTCCTGAGTCCG